TCCAAATGCTCTAATTTCTATTTATCTTGATGGAATTGCTTGGATTACACTATCCTTTAAAAAGCAGAGTGTCCATTTCTGGGGTAAAGCAGAAATAGATGGATGTGGCATTAAATCACTTTCTGTCTGGATTTTAACATGACTGAAATGAAAATTTATATTTACTCTGTTAACCTAAGTGTCCACAGAATAAATGAAAAGCTCTGAACATAAGAGGTTTAATGGACTGGTTATTGGACTTTGTGGCCACACTCAGGAGTGTGGGCATGTCTCTCAGCAGCTGAAGGGCAGGAGATGTTGGGCCAGGCTGCATTTCCTACACAGCTTCCTTCTATGCCTACTTTGCCACAATCAGTCCCGTTTGATCAATGTCCCATCTAACATTCCACAGCAACAGATAATTTACTGCTTACATTTAAACAGGTTTTCTGAAAATTAAGCACTGCAAAGAACAGATATGTGTCAGTATACACACGAGGTTGCAGACCACCAGTAATTACTAGGTTACGAAGTGTGCAGAGTATGTCTCTTAAAGAACATAACCACACAGAGTATGTTCTGCCAGTCGCATAGAAATTCCCTTTGGGAATGTTGACAGCAACATTTGGCTACTGCGTCTTGAATGGACTGCCCAGGAAAAAAGATTTAAGAAAGAAATTAGTAATTCTAATACCCTTTTTAGAATACCTATCCTTGGCACTTTAGAACAGTTAAACATAAATATTATTAAATTCTCTCAACCCTCCCCAAGAGTGTTACCCACTCTTTTACCAATGAAGGAAAAAAGCTCAGAGAGGTTTAGTAAAATGGAACGTAGTCAACTGAAAGGCCACAAAGAACCGGAGGGCCCATGCTGCCTCTAAAATCTTAGTAACTGTTTCAAACAATGACTACAGTTTGGGGAAAATGTATTTTCTGGGAAAGCGTCTCTGGAGTGAGGCAACATAAGCACTGAGGTACACTGCCCACAAGATCTCTTCTATGTGTGGCAGGGAAGCGAGGACCAGAGACGCAAACACAGAACTCCAGGATACAACGGAGGTGACAGCACAGTTGGCTGTCATACCATAACAAGACAGATTCCTGCTTCATGTCACACCCAAAGACATACTCCAAATGACTTAAAAACTACATATAAAAAGTAAAGCTTTAATATTTTTAAAAGAAAATAGTTATCTTTATGATCTTAGGACAGGGAAATTTTAAGATACAAAAATGTAAAAATTATAAAGAATGATATATGCAGCTATACCAAAGTCAAAATCTTACGTAACAGGTAAAACATAGTTAAAACTCAAACCCCTGACTGGCAGAGATATGTGCATTATATATAAAAGGATTACATCCCAGGATATAGAAGATTAAAGGAAAAGGAAGAAAGGAAGAGGGGCAGAGGAAAAGAGGGGGGAGAGAGAGAGGAAAAAAGGAAAGGAGAGAAAGGGGGAAGGAGGGAGAGAAGGAAGGAAAAAGGAGAGGGAGAGGAGAAGGAAAAGAAAGGGAGAGTGGGAGAGAGTAAGAAAGAGTAAAAGACAGAAAGAGAAAAACAGAAAGGATGAAAGGAAGGAACAAAGAACAAGTGAGCCTAAAAGGAAAAATGGGCAATTACCCAATAGGAAGGAACCTGAGGTGCCAACAGGCATATAAGGAGATGTCTAATCTCACTAGCCCTGTAAGTTAAAATAACAAGGCACATTTCCCTAACTATCAGATAAGGGGAAAAGGTTTACCAATATCAAGTATGACTAAGAATTTGAGAACTTTCATATCCTGTTAGAGGCAGTGTAAATGAGCACTACTACTGTTTGGGAGAGTCAGTCCCAGAGTAAGTCTATGTTCTACCAATTCCATTCTATTCCCAGATAGGAAATCCAGCCTGGTACTAGCAGGGCATTTGTAAGGAAGCACAGAGTAGCATTATTTTTAGCATTTTCAAAATGGAAACCCCCCCCCCTAAATACTTAAGAGATTATCAAAAGGGAAATAAATTCTCCAACAGTCATAAAAATAATGGATTTTTTAAAAAAAAGTTGAGTAAAGAAGTTACAAAAGGGTGCAGACAGTATATAATGTAAAGCTAGAAACAAAAAGATACTATGTTTATGAAAGTGACACAGGCTCATGGAAGTATAAACACAGGGGAGGAAGGGATGCAACTAAAGGATGAGAAGAGGACTTTAAGTTTATGCTTAGTGTATACATACACAGAATCTCCTGCCCCTCTAAAGCAAACATGGTCAAATGTTAGCATGTGTGCATTCTAAGTCATGGTGGATCAGTTATTCTGTACTTCTCATGATAGAAATATTTCATAACTCACCAAGGAAATTCAGGGAATCATTAGGGACTATTTTGAAAACCTATATTCAAAGAAACTGGAAAATCAAGAAGAAAGGGACAAATTTCTAGGCACATATGACCATCCAAAATTGACCCAAGTGGATATAAATCACCCAAACAGACCTATAATAAGCAATGAAATTAAAGCAGCCAATAGTCTCCCAAAACAGAGAAATCCAGGACCTGTTGAATCATGAATTCCTGAAGCATGAATTCACTATCAGACCATTATAGAAGACCTAATAACAACATTCCTCAAATGTTTCCATGAAATAGAAAGAGAAGGAACACTGCTAAAATCATTTTGTGAAGCCAATATTATACTTATCCCTAAACCAGAGGATACAACAACAACAAAAAAAGAAAACTGCGCCAATCCGTCTAATGAACTTAGACACAAAAATTCTCAATAAAATACTAGCAAACCAAATTCAAGAACATATCAAAAAGGTCATACACCATGATCAAGTCAGTTTCATTCTAGGGATGCAAGGATGGTTCAATGTAGGCAAAACATTAAATGTAATACGGCACATTAACAGAAGCAAAGACAAAAATTATATTATCATCAACAGATGCAGAAAAAGCCTTGGACAAAATTCAACTTCCTATCATGATGAAAGTGCTAATGAAACTAGGAATAAAAAGAATGTACCTCAACATAATAAAGGCTATATATGACAAGCCTATAGCCAACATCATACTAAATGGGGAAAAACTGAAACCATTTTCTATAAAGTTGGGAACAAGACAAGGGTATCTACCCTCTCCACTCTTGTTCAACATAGTCTTGGAATTCCTAGTCAGAGCAATAAAAAGAATTCAAATAGGAAAGGAAGAAGTCAAACTATCCCTATTTGCAGATGACATGATCTTATGCCTAAAAGACCCAAAAAAAACTCTACCCAAAAGCCCCCAGACATCATAAATAGCTTCAGCAAAATCAATTTACAAAAATCAATAGCCTTTCTATGTGACAACAATGAACAGACTGAGACAGCATATAGGAAAATAATTCCATTTATAATAGCTTCAAAAAAATTAAAATGCCTAGGAATAAATGTAACAAAGGAAGTGAAAGACCTCTACAATCAAAACTATAAACCACCAAAGAAAGAAATAAAAAAAGCCTACAGAAGATGGAAAGATAAGAATAATATTGTGAAAATGGCTCTATTACCAACAGCAATCTACATGTTCAGTGCAATCCTCAACAAAAGAAATGGTCCAGATTGAAGCAGCCCACAGAATGGGAAAAAAAATCTTTGCCAGTTATGCATCTGACAAGGGATTAGTAACCAGAATATACAGGGAGCTCAAAAAACTAAACTCCCAAAAAAGAAACGAAGAAATGGGCAAATGAACTGAACAGAGATTTTTTTAACGAAAACATGCTCAACATCCCTGGCCTTAAAGGAAATACAAATCAAAACCACATTAAGATTCTGTTAGAATGGTTACCATGAAGAACACAACCAACGAATATTGGCGAGGATGTGGGGAAAGGAATCCTCATCCACTGCAGGTGGGAATGTAAATTAGTACAACCACTATGAAAAATAGTATGGTGGCGCCTCAAAAAACTAAAAATAGACCTGCCATATAATCCAGCAATACCACTGCTATGTATATACCCAAGGAACGTAAATCAGGTTCCAGCCAAGGCACCCGCACACCCATGTTTATTGTAGAACTATTCACAATAGCTAAGCTATGGAAACAGCCAAGATGCCCCACTACGATGAATGGATTAAGAAAATGTGGTATCCACATATAATGGAATTTTGTTAAGTCGTAAAGAAGAATGAAATTTTTGTAGTTTGCAGGAAAATGGATGGGACTGAAGAACATCACTTTAAGTGAAGTTACCCAGGTTCAGAAAACCAAAGTCTGCATGTTTTCTCTCATATGTGGAATACAGACACAATACAAATACAAGCAATATTATGAAAAACAAGTTACACTATGGGGAGATCATATATGAGAGAGGGAAGGTAAAAGAAGGAAGTTAAGAAGCTGGATATGGTTGATGTACTTCCTATACAAGAATGAATATAGAATTTTTAAACCTGCTGAAATCATCATAAGAAGGAGATTATGACAGAAAGGAGAAAAATAGAGGGGATGAAACAATTTGAGTTATAATACATATATACATAGAAATGCCACAATGAAACACCCTGTATGGCTACACTAAACAAACAAAAATGTCATTTTTTTTTTTTTAAACAGGAAGGCAAAACAGGTCCTGTCTTGGGTGGGAACCAGTGGGATGGGGGAGGATATAAGGAAAGGGGATCATAGGGTGAATACGGTGGAAATATTCTGTACACATTTGAAATGGAAAAATAAGACCTGTTAAAACTATTCTAGGAATGGGGGGGAAGGAGGAGAATGATGGAGGGGGTAAATTCAACTATGATATAGTATAAGAAATTTTGTTAATGTACTCCCAGTACAATAAGAAAACAAAATAAAATATAAAAAAAGAAATATTTCATAACTGTATTAGCAGAAAAGAACAGGGAGAAAGTGAAGACTGATTTGCTCTAAATACAGTACACTGCAGTAGGGTCACCAAAGCAAATCAGTACTCATGTGCAGGGTGTAACAGAGGGCCTTAGAGCATAATCCATGGACAAAAAGCACAAATTTTATCTTACTTCTGACAGAAGAGCTGACCGCAGTTCCTGCAATGGTGTCGTCTTTCTGTGAGGGAAAATCTCACTGAGCAGCCCGAACAGCTGTCACCACCTTCATCCTTTACCCAGTGGTCAGCAGCAGAACGGCCTGGCTGGTCACTCACGGACCAGCTGAACACTCGGCCTCGACTGTCACCAATGAGGATCCTGCTGTGATCCCTGCAGGAGACATGAGAAGCCCGTGGTCCAGTGTTCAGGGTATGCTGGGAGGGTGAGCTCACCTGGTGAAGGTCATGGAGAGACCCCTTGAATCTCGCATGGGAACTATGTAAGCTACAAACAGAACTTAGCCAGAATTTACTCTTCAATCTCAGTTTCCTTTGGTTTGAAGCTTGGTCTTTGTGAAACCAAAGTTTATTTATTTTTTTATATGCAGAATTAAAATCCACGCAATGGCAGGTTTCTTCTATAGATTTCAAGAATCTTCTAGCTACATAGGCTAATACATAGGAAATCTGGTCTCCTCAAGGACTGGGCTGGAATGTAGGCCCCTGGCTATGCAAATGACTCAGAGGGAAGAGGGGCTGGAAAAGTCCCAGCACTTACTTGGAGACACCCAGTGCGGTGACCTCGGCTGGGTGTGCATTGTCCTTTCGGTCGAAGGCTGTATGCATAGTCAGCTTGCTCCTGAACACCAGCTGCCGCTCCCACCTGTACCCTAAAGTGGAGAAGTGGAGGGGAAGACAAAGTGGGGGGAAGAGATGTACCAAGTGACGGCAGCCTGGGAACTAGGGCACCTCAACACACCCTGAGCAGCCTTTCCAGTTCTCAGCTGTTGCCGCTTGGGATGACAGGAAAGCAATCTGACAGAAGAGTAACCATGGGCCAGTTGGAAAATGCCTGATTCCAAAGGGAAACTGAAGAGAAGGGGCAAGGCCCCTTCTCACATGAGACATTGTGAAGATCTTGCCTCTAACTCTATTATAGGCAAAGCTGCCTGCTAATATAGTTTTGTTTGTTTATAACTAATACTTGCTTATTTTCAAAAGCTTTCATGATTTTATAATTTGTGATGAATGCACTTTTTGGTCTAAGGTGTTTCTTCTTAAAAAAATGCCCAGCATGCTGCAAACACCTTTGTAGGAAAGACTCTCAATTAGCTTTCTACAAAAAGAATGGAGAGAAGCCTTTCTCTGTGAGTGGCCCAGGTCAGAAGGCACATCAGAGATGGAGCCAGCGTGAGCTAGAACCCACTGCCTCAGTCCACCAACTTCACACTACTTATAGGCAGCAAGAAACAGATCTCAGACTTCAAGTTACCAGGCTTCAATCTGCTGTAATTCCGCACTTCGATGGGATTGGGGTGAGGGTGGCTCAAGGGTCCCTGAAGATGGGCTCTGGTCTGGCCTTCGGAATAGTTCACAAATATGAAGCCATCTTTCTCATCAAGACTAAGTTGGTCAGACCAGCGCCTGGAGTCATCGGAGCCACTGTCAGTGCACCAGGTGGCTGTGGCTCTGCAGGAGGCTGCCCGAGGTCTGTGGCTGGTGCTGCTGGGCTGGCTGGGAGCATCCTTAGGAACCTGGCTGATGCTCTGCTCCTCTGCTTCCGAATCACTGCTGTCTTCATCTTGGGCTTCCTGCCCTGGGTAAAGCAGCAGAATTAGAAAACACACATTCACCGCAGTTAGACTCAGCTTTGTCCCACCGATTTTTATTTCTTTCAGATGTAAGACACAAAAGATGTAGTATTTTAAACTAAGCCCAATACAAAGAAAAATATGGCAGGATTTTAGCAAGATTAGAGACAGCAGAGAAAGAGTAGACTTTCTGAGGCTGGGCATGGGTAGCACTCACCTGTAATTCTAATTACTCAGGAGGTACGAAGAAGAGATTTGTGAATTTAAGGCCAGCCAAACAAAGCTAGCAAGATCCTGTCTCAAAAACAAACCACAGAGACTGGAGATGTGGCTCAAGTGGTAGAGTATTTATTCATCTCATCTTTCACTGTTATTTACTTACAGGCTTTATTAAAGGGAAAGTGACCTAATTCTCATTGAACTCCTTAGTACAATGCTTGGCATATAGCAGATACCCCCAAATACTGAGCTGAAGTGAATTTTTGAGTTTCTGTCCTCCCAAACACCTAAATGACCTTTCTGATGGTCCTGCAACTGACTATGTAGAAATGTACACGTATTAACATACTACAAGCATTAGAATATGCTGCTCATGTGATCATTTCCTTTTTCTGGCATGGAAAATAAAGACTGCTTTCGCAGTTTACAGAGAGAAGCACTTTGTGTCTTTTGATAATAAATCTTTTCCCTGAGGAACTCCCTCATATCATCAAAAATACTCTGTGTACAAAAACTGATCATACACACAATCTGATCAAACTTAAACCCTGGTTCTTTCCAGGAAGTCTCTTCTACCAACTTCTGTCCAAGAAGGGCAGCTTCTTCAGAGATCAGCAACACAGAGCAGAACTTGGCAGTTTTATGTTACTGCTGCTACTCATTCTGTATAGAAATCACCTTGCTCTTTATTTCACTGGGAACATTTTAAGCTCTTTCAGAAATAACAGGTCACCAGGCTTCAGCATGAATTAATGCTCCACGTAAGCAGGTGTGGGGTGGGGATTGTGGGCAGACAGACATGGAACTGAGGTCTACAGCTGCCTTACCTCTACAATACTAAGCTCTACAGTCTGCTTTCTACTTTCAGAGCTGAGGCCCGAACTTTGGCACTTCAGGAAGCTAGGCTTATATTTTTAGCATGGAATGTGGAAATGGACAAGAAGACTCTGCTACACCAAAAGCTCCCACTGAACTAGAGGAAGACTGGCATGTCTGCCCAAAGGAATTACACAACAGGTAGCGATCATGCTTCTGTGAACAATGCCCAACATCAGGCTCCTGTCTATGTAGTTTGGCATAAGTTTAGATCACAGCAACCAAACAACTTAGAAAGAGACTGAGTTGTATTCTGTTGTTTTAGAATGTATAAAATAAAATACCTATTTGTGCTTCTGGACAGTCTTCCTGCATTTCTAGGACTTCAACAGGCTCCGGAGCTGGTGTTTCAGGAACTTGCAAAAATTCCATTCTCCAAAACTGCATTTCAATAAGTATGAAAATAAAAACCAGTTAAGAAACACATTACTGGGTGAATGAGTTCTCAGGGTGAAACAGGTAATTTCTACGCCTGAGTATAAGCAGAGTCCCCCTGCACTTGACAAACATGGCATGGCTATCTCAGGTTGGAGGGAAAGAACTGTGGTCAAGCAAGTTTAAAAACATGGTTCAACTATGTCAGTAAACTTGTCTCCTACAAAAACCTGTGAGTCTTGTATACATGAATATACACTTGATCTACCAAAAGACATCCAGCTAGCAGGTCTCCAACCATCTCTTGCCGGGGAGTTTTCCTATAATGTCTCACAGACTTAGTGACTGGAACACAACTCTTGAGAAAGCAGACCAGGGTGTGCGTGGATGCACACTGGCTGTCTGACGTACAGGGTGTGATGATGTAGTGGGCTGACAGCCCCTCTGTGACTGTAACTACTAAGAAGGGTGGTGATCGGCTGCCCTCTGCTTTGACCAAGAGCATAATTAAAGAAAACAGGCACAAAGAAAATTGCCAGAGAGAGGAAAAAGTCAAACAATTGAACAGACTACTAAGGCAAATAATCTGTTGATTCTCTTTTCTTCAGAGGCTCAATACATAGAAAGCTAAGACAAAGATAAATGGCATCTAAACTCCGGGGGATCGAGGGAGACCAAGCCTGAGAGTGGTCTGAGGCCCTTGCACATGTTTTCTAGCTCTGTGATTCTTCAGGGAAGAGACCATCCCTGCTTCTTGTTTTCACTGTGAATCCATCTGATAGTCTAAAAACCCAGTAATGAACCAGCTCGCACTGTTACTACTGCCAGCACGGCATAGGGATCGTAATTAAGTGACCACCTGTGTTAAGCTGCCAAGCGGTTAGTAGCACTAACAGCTCTACTTAGAGGGAAGACAGAGGCCAAGTTCCCATGTCTGAAAATATGATGACCAAAGCTTGTGTAAGTTGGAACTTTGCTAAACAACATTGTAAACTGTTCAGCTTCGTAAGTTTCAAATAAACTATCCTAATGAGTTTTCCCAAGTTTGCTTACCCGAACCACTCCATCCGAGTGTCCCGTCACTATGACATTCTGTGTATCCCATTCATTCATCTCTGACACGCAGCAACAGACAATCTGCTGGCTCCCACCTGTGAATGTGTTTACACTCACAATAGGGTTCCCGTTAATGCTCCACACATGTATGTAAGTGCCAGCGCAGGACACAATGTCTCCCTGAGAAGATAAAGAAAGACTTCATTCCCTTCCGATCACAGACCAGTGTCAGAAGCAAACCGAATCCTCAGTCTAACTCTCAACCAAATCTCTCAGTCCTTGAACTTAAGCGGCTCCATGATTTCTGAGGTAACCTGGAATTGAGTGCTTAGGGACTTAAAAAAAATATATCCAGAAGAAAGGCTTAAGAATTCAAATCTAAGAGTTAGGAAATATAACTCAGAGGTAGAGCATTTGCCTAACATACACAAGTCCCTAGGTTTAAAAAACAAACAGAAGAATTCAAAGTTGAGTGGATGCTCTGCCAGGGGGGTCACAAATGGAGACAAGAGGCTGGTTATGACCCAGAACACTGCTAAGTGAGGTTCTCAATTCACCAAAAGGCTGTATGACATCTGAGATGGTGGCAAACCACTCTTCTTCATTAGAGGCAGGAATCCACCTCCACTGATCTTTATATAATGAGACCAACCACCAAGACCACTGAATGGAAGAGAAAAATTTGAGTTCAGATACATTGTTTCTCTCTTTAAGAAACGAAAAGATGAAATCTATGTAACACTGTAATATCCTATTTTCAAGTTTGTAATCATGCCAGTGGTGGGAGAATGAAGAAACAAAGAAACCTAGTAGATGGGTCACTCCTAATAACCCTAAAACTCTCTGAGCTGACTTGATCTTATGAAGTCAGCTTTTACTAATGCTGCTTTAGAGGATGAAAGTGAGGTACGGGGTACCTAAGCAACTTGCCTAACTTCAGAGTGGAGATTTGAAGCCAGCTCTCTGTAGCCCCAAAGCTTATAAACCATGCTGTGTTGCCTTTCTCATCCCCAAGGCAGCCTAGTTGTCCCAGTGTTGGGTACTGATTTTACTAAAGCCATGGTGAAGTTCTGTATGGTCAAAAGACAGACGAGAACCTATGGAAATTTGAAGATGGTCATCAAAAGCAGGGGGTGCCACAGGCTGAACTGCTGCACCATGTAAGGAAGAAGGACGGGGGAGGTAAGGTGAGGGGTGATTGGTGGACTGAGCCACACTGTCTCTGAGGGCCTGGCTATTGCTCCTTCCTCTCCCCTGTAGCTCTTCTACTAGAATGGCAAGAACTAAACCAAAACCCCAACACAAGTAACACTTCGCAAGCATTGTTTGAACGTTGGTATTGGTCACTAAACAGTCTCTAACTGCCTGTCAGCAGGTGAGTTTTAATTAGTGGCCTACATCTATGCAAGACATCTGAGGCAGCCACTCTGCTCTGTACTGGGCAAGAATTCCTTCAATTACTCCAGGGGGATGCAGTTATAGCAAATCCTGTAGCTATGAGTGCTAAGCTGGAAGTCCTTTAAAAGGCAGCTTCAAGGAGAAGGCTTCAGTTCCAAGTATAAACTGAAGTAAAGCTGGCTGGGTATTAGCTGGAGGTAAATAACAGAAGAAATGTTTTCATGAGTTAACTAAGACATTACAAAAACATCTTGATAAGAAAAATCCCAATTCTGTAATGTTTGCAGTAACTACTACAATCCTGTGCCCATATGATTATTCAAATGACTCACTGTAAATAAAACTCTATTTAAGAGCAACCCCAAAACAAAAGTGCTATAAATTATGGAATTAAACATTTGACTCAGAGCAACAAGGATGGGTCAGAACAGTTCTGTTGCACCCACATTTTTGTAAAACTCTTTGGGTGCAGACATTTGAGGGCCAACCCCATAGTGTTGCTCTGAAAATATCCTACCTTTCAAATACACTAAGAACGAAATTTGACTTTTACCCTTGCCTGTCCCCCACTTGTTCCCAACTCTGAGTACTCCTGTTCTTATCAATTACATACTCTTAGGGCTATTTGCTAAAACCAAATTCTTTCCTTTCTCCTTTTGTTTTAGTGGCAACAAGATATTTGACTAAAGAATAGTACTTGGTATTGCTTGGTAGATATCAAAGACATGGCAGTTCTTTTAAAAGGAAAGCTAAGAAGCTCGCTTGATAACAGGACTAGAAGTACTGCGTTATGAAGGACAGCCCACAGCAGGATAAGGGTAAGGTAGGAATGGATATGTGTAGCTAAGAAGCAGTGAGACTGGGGTGGGTTCATGTGGATTTCCAGGGCTGAGCTGCAGATGAGGGCTGCACCTACACGCTAATGTAATGACATGTTCCTTGGAACATGTCTTTGTAAACCAACCCTGGGCTTCCTCTTTTATCATCCTATCTTAGCAAAGATCCCCCTTCTTGTCCACCTCAGAGGGACTTGGTTTAAGTGGGGATCTCATAGGCCAGTGCATTCATTTTATCCTGGTTCATTTTATTTATTTGTATATAAAATATTTATTTTTGAAAAAATCTAGTATCTTTTGACAACTTTGGGATGCTTTAAAAATTACTTGACAATTTTTCTCTTTTTGGGTACCCAAATCTGACTTCTCACTTTATATAAGAAGTAAATAATTTGAATATATTTATTTAAAAATTTCAACAAAATCCTAACGTTCAACAAATCCCACAAATTCCTTACTTTCAGAAAAGCATATTCTAGAATGTTTTATTTTAACCAAACCTTGCTCTTTTTAAATGATGCAGTAGTGAATGGATATTAAGACAAAACTGCTCTCTGTGTTATACATTTTGTCATCCATTTGCTTTTCAAAAACCATACAAATCAAGTACAATGTAGTGACTTTTATAGGATGAGTGCCTAAGTTTGGCCAGAACAAACTGTTTTCCTAAACAGAAACCAGTGGCAATTTACTACTTACTGTTAACTCATTGATACAAAGAGCAGAAACTGGAGCTCGATGGCCTCGGAGCTGGGTTAGAAATGACAGCTTGTTCAAATCCCAAATGATGCAGGTTCGGTCGCGGGATCCACTGACGATGATGTGATAGGCCAGCGAAGCAGTGGCACAGGTGACAGTATCTGTGTGACCAAGTAAGGCCTACAAATGAGAATAGCAACAAGTGAGGTCAGCCACATGGTCAGGGTCCTTTAAGTGACTCCAGAAGCTCCTGATGATTCGTGGGGAGCTGGTGCCCTGAGTGGGGCATGGAGTTTTGTGTGTGTGTGTGTGTGTGTGTGTGTGTATGGGGGGTGGGTAGACTAAAACTCTGGAGGCTCTTCTCTCCATGTTTATGTAATTTGTTTCATACATGTTGGTCAGGCTCCACAAAGGAAGGGGGAAATGGCAGCTACAACCTCGCTTGGATTTCTTCATACTGTTTTATTTGTAGGCATGTACACGTGAAGAATTTATCTCTGCATCTATTCTTTTATGCAGCAAACTCCTGCTGAGTCTCTCTGAGGACCTACAATTGGATGATTTAAGAATGTACAAACTGTGCAATGATTACATGGTAGTCACAATAATAAAAATAAAAATATACAAGGGCTAAAATCCACATGGTTGCAGTATGTGGTCCAATAGAGGACACAGGGACAGGCAGTGTGGCCCTGAAGCGTCATCATGCTGCAGCCCTCTTCTTGGGAGGTGCATGAACAGCTCTGCCCAAGGAGGATTCCTTCAACTGGATTAAGGACTTTTCTACTTGACTGGAATATGAAGAGTATCAGGGCTCAGGGAAATGACAGTGTGTGAAAATAAGTAAGTATTTTGAAGACAAAGACCCAGATCATTGTTATAAGTTCCCAGGGGAACAGGTAGGTCCCCTGGCAGAATATGCTGGCTTAAATAATGAGTTGGCTTAGCATTTGGCCATACAGACTTCTATATGTTATACTCAGCAAACCTCAGAAGGCTGTTCTAAGCAAGAAGCTCATCTGATTGCCACAGCAGTTTCAAAGACCACTCTAAATAGAAAATATTTTTAAGAGGAAAGCAGATCAGCAAAATACACTGACAACCTTCTATCTGTTCAGGTTGAGACTTTGTGCCTTATATGGCTTACAGATCCCAGCAAGTCTATGAAGTCTCTGTATAGATGGTTGTTGGTAAAAGTATTACAAGGGGACTCAATTCTTTCCATGAATATTTAACACACTACTATTTGTTGAGTTTGGTTTTAAAATAGCATTGGAGTCAGAACTGAATTTAAATCCTACTTTTTTCAAAAGTGTGAGTTTGGGTAGGTCTCTTGTTCTAAGGTGTGTTGGTTTTTCCTCCCCACCCCCAGGTATAAAATGGGGCTACCAGCTAATTGTAGAATTGTGAGGATCATGGCTCTGTATTTGTAAAACATCACCATTTTTCAAATTTACAGAATAAAAACACTTAAATGTATTTTCCTTAAACATCTATGACAAATTCTCTCACAAATCAATACAAAGGATTCTTGCTTTAAGTAAAAACTAATAATAGAATCAGATACAGAAAAAGTGATAAAAAATACTTGTTAACTAAATCATCAAGGGTTCTACTGAATACATTCACGAGTTTAGCATGTCCTTAATAATTTGATGAATGTAGAACTAAGACTCAATGGACCAGCTCAATGGTAGTCATCCTGGAAGGAAATTAATATGAATCAATAAGAAATATAATTTGATTTTCAAAAAATCCAAAGTACATGTAATTTCTAAGAAATACTTGTTACTTAAATATATTAAAAATATTACCTAAGGACAATTTCCTTCAGATTTTAAAAAAGGACCAGCTTAGATTATTTTTAGAAATAGCATATTCTGATTTATTTATTTAAATTTTTTTTTAAACAAGCATTTCTGGAAAAGAACATACTTTGGGCCTACTGTGGTATTGCACGCCTGTAATCCCAGCTCTTGGGAGGCTGAGACAGCAGGATTGTGTCTTTGAGGCCAGAATGGGCTATGTATCAAGACCCTAAAACAACCTGAGGGGAGGTTTTGGTTTTGTCTGTTACGTTTGGGGTATCTCAGAATTAAGGGCACCTTTTCAAAGGTTTTCTGGAGTAGGCATTTGGGATGGAACAGGCCCGTATTCTCAGTTGCTCACATTCCTCACCTGCTTGAGCATGAGGGTCCTCGCCTTTTCCTTTGAGGTGCCCATCTCCCACACGCAAACCACGGTGCTTGTGCCGCCTGTAATGACCAGCTTGGGGTTGGGGCAGATTGCACAGAGAATCTGGCCCCACTCAGACAAACACTCGTAAACAATCACTGCCTACAAAACAAAATGGATGTGAGACACACGTGCCACCAAGTGCTCAGACATCTGCAGTACTAGGAGCAGAGCCAGGTGAAGGGGAACCTTCATGAAGGTACCTTCTGGCAAACTGGCTCATATTTTGGGCTGCTTTTGGCTCAGTGACATTTCTACTGAAACTCTGCCTGAACTACCCCAATGGCTTTCTGACTGCAGTGGCTGCTAGGAACCATAATAAAAAAGGATTTTGCTCATCATGAAGTCTCTGGCTCCTTCAGTTTGGGCAAATGATGTTCAAGTTCGTGATGCTATGTGAGATGCAGGGGATAATCCGGCAAAGGAGTAAGCTTGCTGTAGCTAGTGAAAACGTAAAAAGACAGCATGTTGCGGTTTAAGGAGAACATTAACTAAACAGAACCATATTACAATGCAATGCAACAAGCTGTCACAGTCTACCCAGCTTCCATTCTGAAGGGGACCATCACAGGGGCAAATGCGGGGTGCTAAGGGATCAGTGCACATTGCTTCTTGCGAGATACTTATGGGACTCAAAACACCCACAACTGCTTCTTGTGTGATGGGGTAATGAGTTTTCTGTCAGCTACTTAGAGTATTAAAACAGAGGTGGGCCAGATGGAGACTTGCAAAAGAAGCTATTTTTGTTGGTAGGAATGGTGAGCACCAGGGTGGCTAAGATTTCTTAGAGAAATTCTGTGAGTGGGAGGGGAATTGCCAGGCCCCATCACACAATGTTCCAAGAGAGGCCTGCTCTGCACAAGCAGACTTCTTTGTTAGCTTCCTTATCTTGATCTGACACATGAAGCTCTCCTTTTCTCTGGCCTCTGAATGAACAGAGGCCAAGTCTTTTGACTGGGTTCTTCCAACCATGTCAACCTGAATTTTCAGACCATGAAAGACTAAGACTAAATAAGTAGGAAGGAAACAATGCAAACCTTGTCTGATTCATAAGTTCCCAGTCTGCAGCTGAGGTCTGCATAGCCCCAAGCGAAAGTTTTGTTCCAGGTTGGTGGGATGAGAACCTTGTTCTGTTCTACCGCAAGGATGCCTTTATCTGTACACACTATTTGTCCCACAGGCTCTTTGAGTTCTATAAAGAAGTAAGTCATTACATTAGGAATGGACAGGGAAACTAACTTCATGGCCTAATGAGGGGTGGTAAGGTCATCTGAAACATCACAGAAATCAGCATTCTTGTACTTAATTAAGACCAAATGATCTCAGAAGTACAGCTTGGCTTTTGAGGCTCCTGTTAAGACCTGACAGGTGTTCTGGAGGGTTCCTTCAAGCTACCTGTTTCTTGACACTCAAGGCAATCAGGACTGTCTGTCTCTCTAGGACTGCACAGAGAAATCTGAGGTGTGCCTCAGAATGTCACAGGGACACATAGATTGTCAATCCATTGATATCTTCAGAATCCCAAACTATAGCCAGCCCTTAGAGTTCTTTTTTTTTTTTTTTGTGGGACAGGGGTTTAAACACAGGAATTTGCATTTATTTGTTTTGGTTATTTTGGAGAGGGGGAAGTCTCACTAAATATCTGCCTGAGCTGGCCTTGAACCAAGATCCTCTCAGCCTTCCAAGTAGCTAGAATTATAGGCTTGAGCCACTGGCACCTGGTAGCCCTTAAACTTCCTGAAGGAAGGGCATGCCATTTCCCAAGAGGAAAATTCCTCTTCCACATCAGATTATGCCAACCCACTAGTTCTCCAAAACAGTCACTGGGCAGTGCCTGGAGCTAGCACAGAGTGAAGTCTGTGCAATGGGGCAAAATGGCAGAGTGCAGTCAATCAAGTTACCCAGACTGTAACACTTGAATTTTGTACAGTGACAACTTCAAGACTCTACAAAATAATTTTTCATTCAAACACAGAACTTCTACTTGAAAAAATTCTTTCAGATTACTCATTAAAACATGGGATAAAAGATAGATGTCATTTAGTTGGCATATCAAAAATATGGTCCCTTTACTGCTATTTCTGATAGGTTAATATGTACAAATAAAAAAATGAAAAATGAAGGCTGGGTGTGGTGGTTCATGTCTATCATCTCAGCTACTTGGGAGGTACACATCAAGAGGATTGTGCTTAAGTTAGCAAGACCCCATTTCAGCAAAAATGCTGGTTGTGGGGCAAGCATCTGTCATTCAAGCTACACAGAAGGCTTACAGAGGAGGACTGCAGTCAGAGGCTGGCCTGGGCAAAAGCTGAGTGAGACACACATGTCAATGAATAAGCTGGGTATCGTGGCATGTGCCTGTCATCCTAGCTATGTGTGGGGCATAAAAAGGAAGATCATGGTCCAGGCTGGCACAGGCAGAATGTGAAACCTATTTGAAAATAACTGTGGGCATGGTACAAGTATTAGAGTGCTTGCCTAGCAAGTGAAAGGCCCTGAGTTTGGATAAAAAAAGAAAAAAAAGATGACAGATTTTTTTTTTTTCTACATGTAAAGTTAAAATTATGATAAAATTTGGATGTTTTAGAGTTTTATTAACCTAACAGGAGGAAGAAACTTGTTGGTTTTTCCTGATGCAAAACCCTAAAAGCCAAAAAAGGAAAAAATTAAAGAGATTAACAAGTATTTAACTACTTAATACAAAACATATAGCATTTACTACAAATTACATTACTGCTGAAAAGCAATTTTTTATTGGTATACCAGGATTTTGAAATAGTCTCATTAAATTATGAGTTGAAAGTTTATTTCCCCTTATCTTACCTTTCACAGGTGTTAGAGAAGGCCTCAAGTTGTCCAGATGATGGAAAAAGATCTTGTCACTTGTGCATCCTGGTGGGACAGAGAGTCCCATGTTGTCGCCATTGAGTCGGCTCCTCACTCGCTTTGGTGGATGAGGTTTTTTAAATAACTGGTGTGAAAGAAAATGACACACTTTATATGGAAGGTAATATTTATTACGCTCTACCTTCAAAACAAACACTAGGTACCATGTTATTCCCATTTTACATTACAGGAAAGAAATTCAGAAAGGCTAGGAGGATTGCCAGAGAACTCACACCTCAAAAGTAGAAACAGCATTATGATACTGGTCTGGGTTGTCATCACGTTCTAGGATAAGCTGAATCAGCTTTGTGGAAGAAAATTAACTCAGACTACAGCTGTTTGACCATTATTTTCCACTGATGTTTAAAAGTTAACCAATCCTCTACAGTCCAGCTGGTGCCACTGAAGGCAGACAGACATTATAATTGGATTATTTCTGGCTTTTGCATAACCTTTCTTAATGATTTAACAACACCATTTTGGCACCTTTTAGGTGCTTTTTTTTTTAACTTTGCAATGAAACTAAGAAAAAATATTTTGCATTTTTGCTCAGTATTTTCACATGATTAAAATATTATTTAAGATTATTTCATTTATAACAGGTCTTTAAAACAAGGCATATAGTAGTTTTGTTGGGAAAATAGTACATGAGGAAGATAGCTGAAAAAGCTTAGATGAAATGAGATCTAAGGTGAAAATAACAACACCATCACACTCTGTGAATGGGATATGCTGGGCTACCAAGAGAAAAATAGGAAAAATGCTTTGCATAGAGGAAGGCATGTACCTGAGACTCCCAAACCTTTATATGTTTTGTTCCCATTTTAGCTATTTGTATGGGGGCATCAGGTCAGAGTTCTGCTATCTTCTACAGATTGTGAAGTTGTAAAAAAGAAACTTATATCATAAACCATGCTCATGAATAAACATTTACTGATGAACTGTGCCAGGATGCAGGTATGTAAAGATAAATGGATACAGTGACTATAAAACTTAGATTTTCTAGAATGGTTCTACTTGAAAGTATTCTCTATGACCCAGTGGAATGTCCTAGAAATAGACTGGCATCCAGATTATGTTTCTCAGTCTGCTGGCCTCTTATACTCCAAAATAGCACAGACATCCTGCAGTGTGCCAGGGCTTGACTTGTTTGCTCATAATATTCATTTCCCGTGGGGCATTTCCCATGGGTCCTGCCCTTGTAACCCTCAGGAAAAAGGAAAAGTTAAACTAAAGATTTAAGTAAGATTCTCCCATTGTTAGCAGAGTTTATCAATAAGTATTTTGCTTTAAAAGTAAATGTGTTCCCTTTGTTGGGGGATTAGACTGCCTTGTGCACCATGCAGTACCAGCTGTCCTGCTGTCTATTATGGCTTTACTGCTTACAAAGACTTGCCATTGTTCTATGTGTTCCCAAATGTCAATGCTGGAAACCTCAAAACTGGCAAACCTACAAAAAGGGACTCCAGAAGAGACACGTGAAGCATGAACAGAGGAGATGGCTGAGGCCCAAAGTGTAGGGCCTCTAGCACTTGGCACAGGCAGATGGAGTGAGCAGCTGGGCGCTTTGTGCCTCTCCATACGGTGCTGCAGTCAGCCCTGGTGCTTCCTGCCCTCCTGCATACCCAGCACTGTGGGGAGGAGGGAGGAAGCCTGCACAGCACAGAGCCTGACATACAGAGCTATAGTGCTTGAGTACTCTCGGCCTCCCTCTCCATGTTTCAGGTGGTGGTGAAGTAGCGGCTGCCTATCACCCTCTTCAGACCTATGTTGATGATGTAACCCAAACTACCATGGTCCTTTCCCTGCCCTGCTACAATAGCTCCCCAAGCACTCTTCTGCCCCCCAACTCAGCTCCACTTCATATGCATGTGGGGAGTGGGGAGGAAGACAGGGAAGGGGGGGAGAAAGAGACAGAGAGAAAGGAGGAGGAGAAGGGGAGGAAGGGAAGGAGGAGGGGGGTGAAAAGAGAAGCCAGTATGAACTTTTCCAAGTTTAAAGATGACTGTGTCGCTTCCCTGTCTATGAGTACTAGCTTCCCTCTGGCATCCAGATAAAACCCCAAAACTCATCTATACATACTTTGTGGCTTTCAAGACCCCTCCCACTGGGTCTTGAGCAGGTATAGGAAACATATCCAGTCCCATTTGTGAGTGAAAACTGTCTTTAAATAACATAATTTCTAATTATCTGGTTTATGAAAGAGAAAAGAAAGCAAAAATCTAGAGAGCTATTGAATCTCATTGGTGATATCATGGGTGCTTTATTAACTTTGCCTAAACAATGATGCATGGTCATGTACCACCTAGAGACATATTATCAAACTTAAAAACTGAAGCTAATACTGAGAAAAGCACATTCGTACCTGTTTAGGGATTTGACCAAAGTTATTAATGAACCCGATGGTGGCTGTCTCCTTTAGTGGGTCATTAATATTGTAGATATCCACTTGACCCTCATAAAAAAGGTGATGGAAGACATTTACAGCTTCTACTGCAGCAGGGCCTTGCTGCTTATAGCCAAATATTAAGTCAATCCACTCATGCAGATGGGCACTCACGTAGTCACACTCCAAAGCCTGTGATTCCAAAACACAGGTTAAGTCACCAGCTGGCTTTTATTACTTACTCACAAAGCAAAAGAAACTTGGCTAGAGGTCATCAGGAACTAAAATAATCAAAAGTCATGAAGACCATCTTCACAACTTTCAGTACTGCTGAAACCAACTTGTACTGCAGAGGGCTCCCATTACCTCACGGTGGACTCTGATGAATTCTCGTGGGTCTCCTTTTGCCCAGGGTGGAAGGATAACATCTCCAAGCTTGGTGCCATTTTGTTTACAGCCTGTGCAATTGGATACATTAAAGAGAAAATGCAAGAGGGGATAAATGGCAATTTCACACTAAAGTGACAGAGAAAGTGTGTCTGATTTACTACCAGAACTATACTGTTTCATCACAGAAAGGTCCCTGACAAACCATTTACTTGGCATCTCTCCAAGACGGCTCCCTACAGCACTCCTCACATGTACCAAGTATCTCTCACTCTCAGATATCTTCAGCAAATGCTGAGTTATTTAAAGTCAAAGACATTGCTTATTTATGGAACTGCTTAGACGTTTTACTATGCTAGTGTTTGCTGTCCTTTTCTATGAGGGATACTAGATATCCTGAGACTTGAACTCAGGGCTTTTCACTTGCTAGGCAGGTGCTCTACCACCTGAGCCAGACCATAGGTCCTTTTTGCTTTAGTTATTTTTGAGATAGTGTCTCATGTTTTTTTCCCCAGGCAGGCCTGGACCTCTATTCTCCTATTTACACTAGCAGGTGTGCACCGCTGAGCCTAGCTTTTATTAGTTGAGATGGAGTCTCACCAACTTTTTGCCTGGGCTGGCCTTGAACTGCCATCCTCCGATCCTGAGTAGCTAGGATTACAAGAGTGAGCCATTGCACCCCACAAATAGACACAGACTTTCTGAAATGCTATTCACCACAGGACTCTTTTTCAATGAAATATTTTGTGAGGTTCCTATTTGGATCTCCCAGAGACAGCCACAGTACATAAGGTTTCTCATATTTTTGACATTAAAGTTCTTGAGAGAGCTGTGCAGCAATGAGAGGTATTTTGCAGTGATGATTCACATTGAAAATAAAATTTGAAACAAGGTAACTTTTGCTATTCTTGCATCATTTAAAAGAAAAATATTTGGAAAGACATTAGGGCAGAAACAAAACCCTCATGTTGTGACAAAGCATATAGAGAACATTATTCCATGTGACCTGTTCAATCACAGCCAGATAAGCTCTAAAGTATTAAAGGAACCATTTGCTATGAAATCTATCCACAAGCAAATACGTTAACTGGGACTGGTATCTAAGGAACCAGGTTTTTCTTATTCTTCTTGTTGAAGTAGCTCCAAAAAGTCATTTTAGCTTAGAGTTTTACAAATCAGATTTTCATTGTAAAAAATGACTATAAACCACAATGTTGACTCACTAACTTCACAGTAGTTGGTTAGACAAATAGTTGTGTTAGGGATTCCATAGAGAAGTGCAGTTCAAATTTTAGAGAATGAGGCCAATTCTGAGTGAAAGCCAATAAAAATATTTCCTTAGAAATGTCTCCAACATTGTTATTTCATTATTTACAATGTGATATTAAGTGACAGATGTGAAGATCAGTTTACTGATAGAGAAATGTTTTGACTTGGTTAGAAGTACTGCCATATGACTTAAGACAAAAATAAATCAGTTTACTACAGACCTCACTCCCCTGCACACACTTCCCACCTTCCTCCAAAATGCTCTCTAGACCTAATTTTTTGGTTATAAGAAGTAGGTAAAATCCCTAGGCTTCCTGAACTATAACTTACTTTAAAAATTTTTGCTATAACCCTGACTATTTAGGTGAAATAAATTAATTTTTTCAGTTCTTTAATTTAAAAGTGACATGTGAAGGGAACATATCCTGCAGCTCCTTCTCATGTATCCAAAGATGTAAGAACAAGAAGACACCAGCGCCAGGGAAAACCTGAGCTCTTTTTTTTTTTTTTTCCATCATTGACTTTCTTTTCTTGGTGGTGACACAGTGCTCGTTTTTGTTTCTGTTTTTCATAGTGAGGTGGAATTCAGCACCCAGCATGCAATGCACCCAGCATTTCTTTCTAGTCCCAAAGCATTTTCACTACCCCCAAAACCTCCACCCTTAAGCAGCTGTTCTCCATCTACTGTCTTCTACCATGGAGACATGGATCTATGTATTCTGGTATTTCTTAGGAACAGAATCGCCTACCATGTGATGGTGGCTTTGTATCACTTAGCACGGTATTTTTAAGGTTGTCCAATGCTACAGATTGGAATGCAAATGTACCCCTGCACTCTAGCACTTCAGTCTAGCCCCAAACCAGCCTTAGACCACGATCTGATGACTTATGCTTCCTGAGCAGCTAGGATTATGGAAGTAAAACTCCAAACCTGCCTGGGCTAGCCTCAAATCATGGTCCTCCCATCTCTGCCTCCTAAGTAGCTGGGATAACAAGTTTAAGCCACCATGCCTGGCTGTCTTTTCATTTTCTTCACAAAGTCTTCAGATGCAAAAGTTTTACATTTTGATGGAGTACTATTTATTTTTGTTTTTGCTGCTTGTGCTTTTGATATAATATCTAAGAATCCATTGCTAAATTCAAGATCATAAAAATTTACTCCTATGTTTTCTTATGAGATTTCAAGGAGGGAAGATGATGTGTTATGAAAGAGAATGTGACAAGCCACATGATCCTTCTTTTATTTACCAGTATTGTTCAGTTGGGTTTGGAGGTGCTCTGGCTGAACACTCTGCAGCACAGATTATCATAACCGATCCAGTGTTTGTGAAAGATGAAGATGGGGTCTCTGACAAACACTGGTGCTAAGGAAGAAGGCAGCATTCTTCTAGGTAAATTACAACTGAATATAAAAAGCAGCTGAAGTACATATTGGTGATTTGCTTGCTGAACACTGATTCCATTCCTGCTCTAGAGTGAGAGACAGGCCCAGCCAGAGGCAGGGAGGACTTCTGCTTGTGGGCTGTTGAGCCTTACTATCTTCCCCATTGAATCCCACTTCATAAATGAAAATAATTTTTGAAAAATTAAAAAAGAAAAATCATGCAAATGTAATGGAAATGAGTATTCTCCCCTGAATTTTCTCTTAATGAAAATTTGGAGGTTGTATGGTAATGATTTATGCCTAACTTTTAAAAAATAGAAAACAAAAGGTATGAATAAAAGAAAAGAGAAAACAGAACAGTATCTGGCATGAATATTCTAAAGTGGAAACAATGGACTTTTGATATGTTTTCAAAGAAATCCTCAGAAGCACAGATCAGCGAATTGTGTTCCAGGAAACTGTAACCAAAGTCCTTTAACTGTCAGATGATATAACTGTCAGATGAAATTCTCTCCTTTTTATAAATGCTGATTTGGAACTATTTTTCTGAAAAGACCCTAACAAGACAAACAGGAAGGATTTATGTAGTTATTTTGAACTTCTGATTTTAAAACACATTAGCATATAAACCAAGAATGCCTCAGGTAATACACAAGGTTAAAATGATACATGAACATTTTGAATATGCCACTCTTGTTATTAAAGAGTTTCAATGGTGATATCGTTCAGATATTCATTTCACTGAAACAAAAAAATTCTGGCCATCAGATGAAATCTGTGTCAATTTTTAAATATCTCCCAGCTTAAAACAGCTCTTTTGGGGAACAAACTTGCTCTTCTTGTTCTATTTAATTACACACACCCAATTATGTAAGTAACAGCTACTAAAACTAGGAGAAAAGCTTTTCTGTTAAGGTATGCTGCAGACGACTTTAGCAAAGTGAGTCCTTCTTGCTAGCATTCCTAAGATAGTACCACGGCTCTACCTACCTAGATCAAAGTTGTTGGAATTGAACAGGAATTCTGGTAAGTAAAAAAATTCTGGGATAAGTTCTTTCACATCTGCCATGTTGTGCTTTGATGCTGAATACCAGGCCTCCCGCACACTGTGGAACATCCGGTCAGCCAAGTCAAAGTGGCCACCCTGTGGGCAGAATGAGAACACCCACTCACTATTACAGAACCATTCCCACTTCATAGTTTCTGTCAAGTTCAAGGGCTTGAAAACTTCAAATGTGCTTGGTGACATTTCCGCTTCTCATTATCATATGGTAAATACGCAAAAATTTAAATAATCATCAAAAGAAAATCTAATTTTCAGAGGGGAGGAAAGAGGATGCTTAGGAAAAAGTAATGTAGATGGGGTAAATTTGACCAAAGTACATTACATACATGTTATAAATATCACAATAAAAGCTCGTTGTACAATTCATGCTAAAAAATTTAAAAAGAAAAAAATCTGTTTTTCTTTGAAGTACTACTTACAAAAGATGCTTGATGCATTTGTTTTATATCAAAGATAAAATAAATATAAAGATTGCAAAAATTCACTTAAAATATTAGTTATTAGTTTTACTATAAGGAAATTATGAATTCTTCAATAATATAATGTTGTCCCACTAAGAAAAGATTCTAACGTAAACCATCTACATTTGGAAATAGTCAAGTTATTACACATATTAGTATTATAATTCACTAATTTTATAAGTTAATGTGACAACCAAGTTTTCACAACAATGAGAATTAAGAGGAGAATTAGGAAAGTGACAGGGAAGTTACAGGTTGACAGAACTAGCTTAGATACAAAACTGAGTTCTTTTGTCTATGCAACCTTCTAGACACATTTCCTTCTGTCTTCATCACACGCCCCGTGCTGTGTTAAGTGACATGGTACTGCATTTGTCCCATGATGCTCACTGTAGGAAAATACCGAAGCTCATCTATCTGATGGCTGCCAGGGTGGACTGGCCTGCCTCCTGACCTCTTCCTGGAGGACGACCACTCACTGCATTCTGGACACACTGACCTTCATGCTCGTCCATGTCAGGTACGCGCCTTCCTCAGGGTCCTGTCCTGACTACAGTATACCTTCTCCACGTGTGTGCAGAAGAGCTCCCTCATCTCCCTCAGGTTTTGTACAGAGACTCACTGTGACCACTCTGTTTTAAAACACCCCTTTCATTCCCCCATCTACCACCCCAGAGTCCCTGATACCTTTGATTACATTCTACAAAAACATTACAATTTGCTTATTTATTAAGTTTGACTGTCTTTTTCAACTAAGATTTATAAACTTCATAAAGTAGGGCTTCTGTCTTTTATTTAGTGATATCTTTCCAAGTACCTAGAACAGTGCCTAGCACTTAGTAGGCATTCAAAAATATGTGCTCAACAAATGAAGTGAATGTGGGGAAAGCAACTACAATCAAGAAGACAGTAATGAGCCAGGATATATCACTCTTAAGAACAAACAAACAAAACCCCCACATTTGTTGAATTCACTCATTTAGGGCTGAGTTCCCTATACGTGGGATAGAAAGTATATATTACATATTTAACTTAAGGATCCTGGAACTTGTTTATCCTAAATAAATTTTAGTTTGTCAATTTTGGTCCAGCAAAATTCCACTGTAATTCTGTTTGACTTCTTGTCAGTACTTAGAAACATCAAAGGGTTTCTTATAAGGCAAGGTAACATTTTTAAAAAGTGACAATTTCAAAGAGTAGGCTTGAATAGAATGGCAAACATGAAAATTTAGAGTTTTACCTGTAGCCTTAAGAATATCTGTGTGAAAGGTTCCATCCTCACAAGGTATGAGGCCACAATCATTGCAGATGAATAATGAGTTCCATAGTGGTATGCTGGAGTTTCTCCTGTTAGACAATGAAAGCACAATTGAAAACAAAAGAGGAACTACATAAACAATATAATTGTCATTAATCAATAGTCTTGGAAAAGCTAGCAATTTTGAGGGTAGTAATTGAAACATTAAATTTGCTTAGTTAAGGCTTTGTAGTGAGAAAATTTTATGAAGACACAACTATCCCTCACTCTCATATCTGGCAGTGATCCAAAGACAGCAGAGCTCACTGCGCTGTCCCCCACAGCTAAGCACATCTGCCAGCATCATGTTTTAAGGTTTATTGCAAAATAGCTAACCCTTAATAGTCAACCATCTTCCATTAAAGCAAAATATTGACTTATAGTTAAAAGTTTTTTTATTAGGTTCTAGCTTTGCAATGATGCTAAACTACTCTCTATGAATATAATGTATTTACAAGTAAGTTACATGGTTTTGGAAGTTATTTGGTTTAAGTAGTAGTCGACCCGTATTTTTTAAATGCAAAAGGGTTCTAAGAAGTGGCTCAGTGAAGTTACAGCAGAGCCATGAATGAAAGTGTAGTTCCTAGACCACATGTGATTAGAGCCAGAGGCAGATTATGTGTGCAATTTCTGCCAAAAAGCAAAGCAGACGCGCCGAAATTTCTGAAGTATTCTGAAGAGCTAGCTACAAGTGCCTTCTAGGCATGGCCATAAGTTAGCATCAAAATCTGATTTTTCAAGTCTAATAATTTGTATAGGTATGCACATATAATGTATATAACATAATGGTATTTAAGCAACTCGAGAAAGCATTCCAGGACAGCAGACCACTAAATAATGGTTTACTTTTGAAACTTTGGTACAAAGTCCAATGACAGACAATGTTGTTTACCATTCGGATCCTCCCAATCTTTGTAACGCTTCTTATACTGAGCCAGCCGTTCATCTGTCTGTGCTCCCATTGGCTTAGCCAGGTTTCTAAATGTCTTGGGATTAGTAAGATCTACCTCCTAAAATACAAAACAAAACCCAACGTCAAGTTACCAGACACCCTCTATTCTAACCAGTATAGATGCTGGGGCTGGAGTAAACATGATGATTTCTAAATGCATCAGGATGTGAGATGGAACTAGCAGTCAAACTCTGAAACAACACTGTTTTCCCACACTTTATGGCCAGACACACGACATTTTGTTAACTGACTGAGTTTGAAGACAACTGCTTCAAAAATTGTGTGTTTCAAGGATGGCACAGGGATCTAGGCTTTGGAGAGGAGGGCAAAGATACCACAGGACACGGTAGACACAAAAGCTCTAATTCATCATTATCCTCCATCACTCCCATAAATAAGAGGATTAGTCTCCTTTCTCTGTGTTACTCGCTCCTGATTCCTTCCAACTTCGCTCCTGACCATCTTCTTCTTAAAATAAACCACTTAGCAATTCATTCATCCTAAAAAACAACATATCAGATCAAGTGACCTCCAAATGTGACAAATTCTTTTAGTTTGAAAGATTATTTTAAAAGCTCATCTCTTGCTGACCTAATTTATGTATTTAAAAAGAAACCAAAACTTACTCCCTTAGGATTAGAAATTTGAAATACATGCCTATGGAATTTAATGTATCCTTTATATAGGGCATTGTGACTGGCCAATTTTGCCAAACTTATATTTAAAAAATCTTGGGCAGGAGAAGTTGATCCACACTAATGAATATAGTCAATTTAGTATATTTATCCTTGCAAAGAATACTTGCAAAGTACCTCGTACTTAATTCAGTAACATTAAAGTGCACATTAAGTATGCACCATTGTTGAAGGGGATGGGATGTGATGGATACTTAAGCAGTCTCCGTGCTTGGGACCTTATAACTGAGTCACACAAACAGCATGACTACAACATGGTCATGAAAGTACCATGAGTAAAAAGGGAAAAAAAGACGGATGGCACACATGCACAATGTAGGAAGGGAATAAATAATTCCCTCTCCACAAAAAATGCATTCTTTTTGGACTTTATGTCTCTTCAAAAATCTGTACTTTCTTCTACATTTCATTGATTAATTTAAAGGAAAAATACTTTGAGGTATGCATATTAACTTCACATCCAACATGCAGAAAATGTTCTCATGCCTACAGACAGGCAGATTTCTATTCTTTCATTAGACTAACATATTTCTGAGAACAGAACCTTTATCTTCCCCCAATAAGATGATACATAAAATTTCCGATGTTGATTCCTGATTCTAGTGAATTTCTGAAAAAATTTTTCCCTCCAACATTGGGGATTAAATTCAGTGACTCAACTGAGCCTCACCCTCATTCCTTTGCTTTTAGTTTGTATTTCAGATAGGGTCTTGCCTGCTAACTTTGCTTAGGCTGGCCTGATACCATGATCCTCCTAATTCTGCCTCCTGAGTGGCTGGGGATACAGGAATGTGCCACCACATCTCACTGAATTTTTGAATTTTAAGAGTAATGTTTTCTTCTTCTTCTTCTTCTTTTTTGATTATTTGTTTTCCAAAGCCAAGCTTTTCTTGTTTTGCCCTGTTACTGGTCATCAGAACTAATTAGACCTCTATCATATAGGAAGAAAAGGAAGAGAGGAAAAGTAACACTTATATGTAGCCACTACTGTTGGTTTTGATCTCTAAATCATGAACATGCTTAATGGGGAGAAATCTTCCAAGATTCATGAAAAAGTACAAACATTGCTTGTATATGACAGGAATATTTTGCAGAAGGGTCACTTTAGATTTTTCTAGCAAACAATGCAAACTATAGAGATGGTTTCTGACACCAATGGATGCAAATTAATTAGCACTTAAGAAAACTGAATTACCATTGTGCATTAAACCTAGTAAGTGAGTTAATTCTCTGAACTTTTGAAATGCTTCTTCTTATCTTGAAATAAATACCCATGCCTACTGGGAATCACTAAACTAAAAGAAATTAAGATATTTGGACAATTGCAGCGTCTTAATTTTTGCACATGTATTCTTCTTAGGCAAGAGCATTTGGGCTTTACCTCTGAGTCATAATCTGCAAGGATCCAGGGGAAGACAGGATACTGCATGAGATCGTTATAGGATCTGCCAGCCAAGGTGTTCAAGTGCATCAAATACTGGAAGTTGCTGATCTCACCTCTCTTGAGAAAGATGGTAAAGATTCATTTTAGAGCAATCAATTATTTCCACCATATTCACTTTACAAAACTGCATGCAAAATGAGGTAATGGGTAGGTTCTTTTTATTTATTTATTTATTTATTGGCAGTTCTAGGGTTTGAACTCAGGGCCTAATGCACTAGGCGGGTGCTCTACCACTTGAGTCACTCCACCAGCCTGGCAGTTTCTTTTTAACAGATTTCAGAACAACAAAAATAGTTTTTTTCCCTAAAAAGAACAAAAGGAAAACATTCTCTTTATGCTATACATTTTATGGAGTATGAAAGTGCTTCTGACTGTATGACTGATGCCTTTGTCCTACTAAGAGAATGTATATATTCATTAAGCTTACCTCCCATCTCTGAGTTACAGACTTCTCTCCAACCAAAGTGCTAAGCAACCCAGATCTAAAAAGAATATAGGATAAAGTATCAGAGTAGTTCTAGAGTTAAAAGATTTAAGTTTCCTGGTCCAGGAATTTTTCAGACTAGAGGACCTCATGGGTCATGGAATCAGTATGGAGGGTTGTGCTCAGCATTTTAAAATATGAAATAATAGAACGGAATGAACTGAAGAAAACAGGAAAAGTATTTTCTGTGAATTTTGTTTTGTGTGTGTGCTGGCATGTAATGTAATTTATATGTACACATATATATTATATATATAAAATATATATATTTAGTGTAAGTCATGGTCAAAGAGTTGGAAAACATTGATCTAATCCAACTTTCTAATTTTCACTATAATTCCTATGTAAACAGATTCAAAGATACTTAACTGAAATATCCACTATTTTACATGTACTAAGCACATAATACATCTAAAAGATTCTGAATTAATAAATTAAAATATTATTTATGAAAGAAAAGTCACTGGCATTCAGGTTATTTAAAATTTACATGGTAGTTTTTGGAAGGTAGCTATGCTTACCACTATACCACCAATACCACAGTAGTTTTTGGATAGCAGATTTTCTTAAAATATTTATAAAATCCTTTTTAAGGTTCAGCAGCTTTATAATATTGATAATTAATAATAGACTAAGGAACAAGAGGAAAGTGTTCAACTGTGTACCTTGTTATATGAAAGGGGGGAATCAAGATTTGTAAGGCTTAGAATATAAACACATCTAGCTCAATAGTACAGATACCAGTTTCCCCTTTTAGTTAAATTCTTTTAGCCAGGTAAACTGAATATGCAGGATACTCTATGGAAAAGTAGCTAGGAACACTCAGCTTTGTAAGACAGGGGACAGATGAAAATGACTCAAGTCAGAAAGGAATTTTTGCTTCTCACTTCTGAGCTCTTAACAGTTCCTTAGAATTGCCAACTCAGTACAGAGGTGGTAAGAATGATGGGATAGCAAACTTAAGGAGATCTAGATAGGTAATAATAATACTAGCAATTTGCCTAGAATTGGAAAAAAAGGCTCAATATGCTTTCAGGAAATATTTATTTATTCATTCATTTATTCACTTGTTTACTTGTTTATTGTCTTGGGATCAAACCCCAAGCCTGTGCATGCTAGGCATAGTGCTCTACCACTGAGCTATATCCGAGTCCATGGTTTTTTGAGATAGGGTCTCACTATGTAGCTCAGGCTAGCCTGTAACTTGCTATGTGGCCCAGGCTGGCCTTGAACTTGCAATCCTTTTTGCCTCTGCCTCCCGAGTGCTGGGATTCCAGGTGTGTACCATCATTCCTGGATCAGTTCTCTGTATATTTGTGTTAACAATAACACAAATGATTTAGAACAGAGTGTGTTTCTGAGATCAACAAAAGCATGTATTTATCACTTGCTATGCCTTGGCTACAGAAAAATAGATGAAACAACTCAAATGAAAATACACCCACTTAATATATTTAGCTGCACACAGATTGGAATCAAATTGTATTTATAAGTTATAGGATCTCCATAAAGTCATTTTTCTTGCATGTTATAATAATTTATAGCCCCTTTAGCATTGCTTCTTTCCCAAGGGACTATAAAGGGCTGCCAGTTATTGAGTGACTGTCATTAGACATAGGGACATGGATTCTTGAAATGGTTACATCACCCAGAAATGTTCTGGGATTAAAAACAGCTATCACAGAGCACATACCAACATGCATACATACCAACAGAAATTTAAATTTAAATTCAAATAAAAGGGGAAGGAAAATTGGGTGATTTGCAACAAATAGGATAAGCAAGAGTGAGAAATACCTTATTACAGAAAAATTCTCTATAAATTGACACTAAGAACTCAAAAGAAAAATGGACAAAAGATGTGGGCAATTTACAATGATTTAAAATGACTAGCAAACATACAGAGCTCATTTGCTAATAATTAATGAAATACACATTTTAAAAATGAGAAAGTTATTTTATAAAATCAGTAATATTGAAGAGTTTAATATAGAAAGCTGGCAAGTATCTATTGAGATAAATTAACTGATCTAATAAGGACAGAATTTAAACTTGTATAATTTTTATAGCTATCAAGTTGGCTTTGTGTAGCAAGAGCCTTAAAATTCATACATTTTATTTTACTAAAGATGCTACCTTAACAAAATAATGAGAAATGACATTTCTGTATTAAGATAAGAAAATGTGGTAAAGGTGAAATACCAAAGAATTAGAGACTGCTTTATACATAAGATTAGGTAATGTCTAAAAGTTATACTTTTGGAAGAACTTTAAAGACAGGGAACTATTTAAACATAATACTGAATGGAAAGAGGAGAATAAAAGCTTGTATTCTAAGTAGAAATTCAAAGCATTGTACGCATCTTGAAAGGCTAAGAAGAACTTCGTCAAAATGTGAGCAATGATTTAACATGAGTGATCATGAATATATTTTTCTTTGTTCTTCTAGTGTCCAGTATTTAAATTTGGATACACACTGATGAAAAATGTCATCATTTTAATTATACAATTAAACTACAATGGGCACAAAAACAAATCACCTACCCCTGCTCCACGCTAGTGTTTGGTCTCTGCCCAGACACAGACTCTGAACTGTCGGTTAGCGATGGCACCACTGCCAGAAACCTGGAAAATTTAAAAGAGCATATATTGCAAATTAAGTGTCAATAAGCATCTCATAAAGCCTAACAAAGGCCCATTCACTCAGAATTCTGTTGCTACATGACCCTTGCATTAGCCAGCAAATGGCAGGCAAAAGGAATATACAATTAGGACATCAACCATGAAAGGTCATAGTAGAATCTATTATTTTGCACTTTTACTTATGCTGTCACAGTACCAGAAACAAACAAAGCCTTTGAAACACTGATTTGCAGGAATTGAATCAACTTAATGAAGCCCTGCCAAGTGACTACAGCTAAATATTCACCTGACAGCAGGTAATGGTGATGGGGCTGACAAAGAGACTTAAGAAATGAAGACATATACACGACAGAACGTTTATGTGACAATGAAGACTTTCTTAGAGGTGCTCACAATGTCAATATGAATTTTTAAAGGCAAAAGAAAATTCTGGGCGAATTCCTGGAATGAATGTGGACCTTGAACTTGACATATGATTAGAAACTTCTCAGAGAAAAGCTCATCTCCTCACAGCAGCTTCTAGTTACGAAGAGCAAACAGTTCCTAGTGGTGAAAACAGTAGCACCTTTAGAAACTGATGTTAGAAAAGTAAAAGTAAATCCCAGTCCCTTATTTAGTTCTTCCTGTATATGGAAGGAGTTCTGGGTCACTGTATATCTTGCTGTATTTGAAGAACATCTCATTTCACAGGTGCTCACAAGCAGTATTACAGTACTCCCCTTTATGTGCAGTACTGCCTTCTGCAGCCTTAGTTACCATAGCCAACTGCAGCCAAAAAATATGAAATGGAAAATTCCAGAAATAGATGATTTACAAGCTTTAAATAATTTTTATTATAGCATATTGTTATATTGTACCAGTTCATTTTACTTATTGCTATCTAAAGTTTTTTGCATGTGAAGAACATCTTGGAACGTACCCACCACTAATGTGAGAGAACTACTGTACTGTACTGTAATGATACACAGTGTCATATATTAGTTATTTCTCACAGAAGTAATTTAAATACAAAACTTCTATTAACTGAGGAATTGCCAAGGCTTATACCACCTTCAAAGATTAAGAGGTCTTTCATTTCTATAAAATGAAACCCTTATTATCCACATATTCCACAGAAGTATCTTTAAATGCCAGATGTGGGGGCACATGCTTATAATCCCAGCAAATAAGCAAGACTGAGGTAGGAGGATTACCTATTTGAGGTCAGCCTGGGCTGCAGAGCAAGAGTGTCTCAAAAAGTATCTTCAAGTACCATGGATATATAGTATTTCTCTTTTAAAAAATGAATTTTAAACACAATTTACCAATGATAAAATATGCTTAGATTAGACCAACAGTTTTATTTGGATATGCTACTTCTTCAAGAATGAAGGTATCCAACTTTTCTTTCAAGGACAGAGAAGACTCTCATATGACTATAAGTTATAAAGGAACTCCGTCCTTGAACTTAACAGTAAGGAACAGTAAGCGTACTGTCTTCATTTTGGTAAAGATGAAGGGAAAAAAAAAAAAGAGGAAGGAAGCCTATTTTGAAGCTGAAGTATTTTTTAAGCAACTATTTCACCCTCCTTTTAAATTCAGAGACACAGGACTGTGAGACTGTAATATCTGATAATCTCTAATATAAATTACCAGAAGGAAAAATGGTATTTCACAACAGAATTGTATCATTCTAAAAGCTAGTCAGAGCAATCATATTCCAAGAGGCTGGCAAAAATGAAACAAGTATTTTCTTTCTCTTTTTTTCTTGGTGTCATGGGGGTTTGAATTGAGGGCCTCAGGCTTGCTAGGCAGGCACTCTTATAAGTTGAGGCATTCAACCAGTCAGAAACAAGTATTTTCTTTAAAGATGTTAACTCATTGATCTATATTCTACATTTTCAAAAGCTAGCAGAACTGGTTGGTAACAGCTTCCCCTCCCCACCTTTTCCCATGATAGCATATAAAATGTTTCTAACAAACAATACCTCTGGTAGACTTTGTTCCTAATTCCTTTTTGAAAAGCAAGGAGGTAATTCCGTCCATCTCCAGAGAAAACTTCAACAGCAATAGGCTGAAGTGATCACAGAGAAAAAGATTAAGATAAGAAAGGAGATCACAAATAAGTTTATATGCTAATTTTTCCACCACTACTTCCTACCGATGTTGAAGGAACTAATTTCTTGACTAAAGAACATTTTTAAAGTCATAAATTATTTGCAGATTAAGCTATACAATAAAAGATTTCCTTATTCTGCTCAATGTATTTGGAAAATCTTTAAAAATAGAATAAAAATTACTATTACATTACATTACTAAGATTATGGTGAGCATGTAATTTTTATATTAAAAGACAATTAAAATGTTGACTTGCAAAGCTACGGGGAAAGATGGATAACAAAGATCACTCAAATTTTAGGCTGTGTTTAAAGAAGAGAGATACATTTACAGTGTTCTGCATCCATGGGACCAGTTTGTCTAAAGAACAATGAAGATGCTAGAGTTTTTATAGCACATATCAGTTTTAAAATGATACATCTTCCAAACAAAGGAACATGATGAAACATTTGGTACTACTATATTAACTCACCTGCAGGAGATATCTCCTTTTATGCACTTCTTTGATATCTTCATATGCAAAAATACTACATGTTCTCTTGAGTTGACTAGGCCCTTGCCTAGCTCCTCTAGGAATAATTGGCTCATGCATACTAGGTAGCCAAGAGAAAAAAGAAAGAAACAGAAACACAGCAAGAAATAAATTCACTGCTCAACAAAGGATATCCCTTTTTCAACACATGAAGAGGGGGACAAAATATTAGAATTTTCAGCGAAAAATGTTTAAGAGAATAATCTGTCAGTTCCTTGGTACAAAAGGAATTTCCCTTTGATGAATGTAATTAAACAAAATCCCCTTCCTATTGTCAGGACTGATTTTTCTACCAGGCATAGTTGGCACAATCCTAACCCCACATACTTTTGGGACCCAACCAAAGTTGTTATTCTTCCAAAATTGGAAAGAAAAGACTGAACATTTAGGTAGAAGAAAATGTTTTATATACATGTATATAATATATCTATCTTTATACTAATAATAAGATAGAATTTTTAATATTTTGTATAGAGGAAGGCCCATGAAAGTCATAATGTGCACCTAATTCAACAATGATTATTATTATTCAATAAGAAGGCAATTATTTGAAGTATGTCCTAGGAATGAGCTCCAGAGATGCAGTCTGTATCAACAGTAACAGGGATTCAAAATGTTAACGGAAGAGAAAAGGCCTGCAGCTTTTCTAAGGCTTAAGTTTATTTATCTTCCCCCTGCCTTTGTGTGTCTTCTGAGTTTTCCATCCTAGCATTGGCAGAAGAAAAGGAAGATTGATAAAACTTTGTTAATCCCTGCTTGGGCTTCAGTCTCACTACTTCCAGGATACGCAGAGAACATGAAAACACTCTTGTTTTTAAGAGTATTACCCAACAAACTGCATTTTATCCTATAGCTGTACATATACTGATATTTTTAAAAAAGAACAACTTATAAGTTCAGAATAAGTTTATTAGCATATGGATTATAATAAAATAACTTGGTATATAATGAACTGTATTAATAACATTCTATTAATGCAAAGAAATAAAACATAGTTTTTATTTTGATGAACAAGCACACTTTTTCTTTAGTACCTTGAAATTACAGCATTACTCTTGTGAATAGGTAATGACAGACACTCACAAACCAAGAGATAACACTACCTAGAACACAGTTTTTGGATTAAAAAGTCATGCAAATACATTTTCTAGATTCTAAGGACAACTGTACTTAGTGGCTTTTCATTCATTGACTTACTTTGGAGGCAATGTTTCGATATCTCTTATTTCCCTGGTTGCTGTCATAGTAAACCCATCAATCACATAAAAATGCTCTTTGCCAAACAGAAGGAGCCCCTCACTGGTATCCAGACCCTGGACTCGAGCACAACGGTACATGTGTTGGATCTATAGAGAAAGCCACAAATATTCTTTAATACAACTTTTTAAAAAAAGTTCAGATAATTTGTTTTTTGTTACTTGGTAACAGCAAGTCCTGAGTTAATGAATGATCAAGCTAGGCTTAAGCATGTTAATAAGAATCAGCTTAGCTTACGGTGTGTTTGCACTGTAAACACGTAAATCAGTAAAAGGAGACACCTCATTTACTCACATCTGCCACCTATGCACCCCTCTGTTTCTCCCAAGATTTAGTGAGGACTTACTATATGCCAAGCACATCACTGCTAGGTTCTACAAGCGAGAAGCCAGTTAGATGAGGTCTCTGCTCTCATGAAGGGTACCCACACATAAGCTGGCAGAAAAGGGGCTTGAGGCAAACACATAAGGGGATCTGAACAGTGTGCCCTTTGTGAAGCCAGATGATGCAGCATGACAATGGTCTGCAGTGCCATACAAAGTCTGGGTAAATTTCCAGGTCTGTGGCTACAACAGCTAGAGATTTGGTCAGGTTTCTTAATTTCTCTAAACCTCTGTGCTTTCATTTGTAAATCTCTAATATTTATCATTGGCTTGTGGCGAGATTAAATATACATAATCATCGTCTCTCCTACAAAGCTCACTGTCCTTTCTCCACAATCCTCCTTGAAATTGGCCCCAGGGAACATGTCTTCCTTCCCTCCCCACCTGGTTCCCTCCCAGCAGACTGCTGCGACATAGTAACAAGCCAAGCTTGGCAGAAGCTCTATTTTCCCCACAAGAGGATGGACTACTAAATCCCTCAATGTAAGTATTGTTTTCTTTTCAAAGGGCAGTAGTTAATTCTTGGTAAAAATTCTTAAACTCAGTTCAACATGAGTCAAGGGAAAATAATCAGCAACTAAATCAGAGTCAAACAAATGTCAAATAAATGTCAGTTTGAATCCACTTCTTGCACCATTTAAACTTAAAGCAATTAGAGTGAAAACCATCCTCTTGAGATTAAAAGTTTTAAAAATAAACAGAAAATAGAAAGTTGGTTACCAGATGTTGGTGGGATGAAAGTGGAAGAGGAAAGGTTCTGATAAAAGGGTGCAAGGCTTAGCTGAAGTGGGGGACAGTTTCATTGATCTGTTATACCACATAGTGACCACAGTTAGTAATAATGGCTAAAACAGATTTCTAATATTCTCACCACAAAAAAGTGATAAATTGGTGAGGTGATGGTTGTTAATTAGAAATAAAATGAAATTTTAAAAATGAAGGGATAATACATTTTCAAAAATGTGTAAATTTAAGTCAATTTTCACTGCCATATTTGAATCATTTCAGAAATAAAAGGGTAGACTGTTACAGAGGAATTCTGATGTAGCTTTTTTTTTCCTGTGTTTTTTTGTGCTGGGCCTCATGCATGTTAGACACATGTTCTTCCGCTGAGCTGTGCCCTTTGCCTCCTGGTGTACTTTGTAAATAACTCTATTGCAGTATCACACGCACAAAGTGTAAAGCGTGTTGAGTTTTCAAATGCTTAAAATAGTGTGACCAGCAACATCCAGACCAAGACACAGAACACTCTTGTGACTCCAGGACTCTCTCTTGAGTTTCCTTCTCAACTGGTAATACTTTCGTAATTAAATGCTTTTTTCTTTCTGTATTTTTATTCAAGATTATCAAGGCATACATTTGCATAGAACTGTTTTAATTATTCTCCAGCTTCTGATTACTGTTTCTTAATGGGTTAGCTCTCAAGGGGGTATACCAAGATCTAACATAATAGCATGATCTAACATAATAGAAAAAAAAGATATCCTTTGAAAAGGTGAAGTTCACTACCCAGTCCAGTGGTCCTTCCCTCCGTCTCTCCCTTCCTCCAACCATAGACTTCTTCATTTAAAGACTTATTATGTGTCTACTATGTGATTGGAATGGTGCAAGGCAATAGAAAAGGAAAAAGAAACAGTGTCTGCCTATTAGGACTCATCATCTGGGAAGAGACAGATACAGGAACAAATAAGTACAACAACGGAATGTGGGAAACAAGGCCTTATAAAAGCATAGAGGAGGAGCATCTAACCAAGCCTGAGCAGGAAAGTCAGACAGGAAGGCTTCCTACATATGAGAACTATAGGCATCCAGATTAATAGATAAGTCATTGAGATAGAGATTATTCAAATAAAGGGAAGAGGGGAATTTTTGGCAGGAAAAAATCCAATGAGTAAAGTATATAGCTTAAAAAATGGTAAGTGTAATAAACTGTGAAGTGTATGATGCTGCAGGGCTCAGGCTGCAAGGAGAGGCAGTGAAATGAACTTGGAAATGTGGGCAGGAGGTAGGAGGTTGAGAGAGAAATAGGAGTACATTATAATTTTCTCTGAGTGCAGGAGAAAAGGGCTTAAATACAAGCTGGAGGAGAAGGTACAGATTGACTGAGGCTGTCTGTAGGTGGTAACTAAAATTATGAAATGCAGAAAAAAAAATAACAAGGCCAGATTGCTGAATGGGTTGTCTACTTAGACTTGAAATAGAGAATTCTGAAAATTTTTTAGAAAGAGAGAGTGAATTAGGTAACAACTGATAATTCTGTATCTGGTTAAACTTTATACTACTGGATGTATATAGAGAGGTCAGGAAACCCTTGAACATGAGAGGAGTAAAGATCCCCCAAATTTCTTTTTTCTGTATTTCATTAAAAGGCTAAAATATCTACCTTAACCATCTTATCACCTTGTCTTGTAACACTGCCTAAACACAGTCCCTAATTTTTAGAAGCACAGTACCTTTTCTCCTTCTTCTAATAGGCGTAGTAAGGTGGCATTGTCTGTTTTCTCCTCCTCTTCTACAGAGCTGCTCTCAGCAATTTGGTCTTGTAGCTGCTCCTGGTTCTCCTCATCTCCTCCATCAGGTGCAGATCGAGAGCGTTTTAAAGGAGGCTTGACCAGACCTACAGTATAAAAACCAACAGAACCTTCATACTGTAGGAGCCACAGGGGGAGCAGTTTAGACTCATGGAGTTGGCTATGGTTTGGATAAGTGTCCCTCAAAGGTTCATGGATAAAGGTTTGGTTCTCAGTGTGGTGCTATGGGGAGGCTGTACAAATTTCAGGAGATGGAGACCAGTGGAAAGAAGTTAGGGCAACAGAGACATGCCCTTGAAAGGGATATTGGGACCCTGGCACCTTCCTGTCTCTCTCTGCCTTCTGGATGCCATGAGGTAAGCAGCTCTGCTCAGCTGTGTGTTCCGTTAAGATGTGCTGCCTCGCTACAGGCACAAAACAATGGCGACAGCTGACCATGGCCTGAGGCCTCTGAAATCATTAGACAAGATATACCCTTACTTTTTACAAGTTGATTTCTCTCAGGTATTTGTCACAGTAACAGAAAGCTATCATTTCCAATTGGAGGGAGAATGAGCCACTCCACCAGCCCTTTTTTGTGATGGGTTTTTTCTCATGAACTATTTGCCTGGGCTGGATTCAAACTGTGATCCTCTTGATCTCTGCCTCCTGTAGCTAAGATTACAGGCATGAGCCACTGGTGCTGGGTGAGCCAGTCTCTTTAATTCTGATACAGAAATCAATCTTTCAGAAGGATGAGACAGTAAAATATGTACACTTTTAAGGCTGGGTCTACTTTAGCTCATTTTTTCATATAAATTCACGTATAAGGAGTGCTCCGAAATGACTTTTAATCACAAAGAGGAAGGCTGACCTCTGACTTTGGCAATAGTGTCTTCGCCATGCTCTGGTTCTTGCTGAGTGGCTTCACCTTCTGAGCTCTCCACAATGGCATCCTGGACGATAGCTGGATTGCCGGAGGCTAGGCGCATGTAGTATTCCTTACTGTCATAACTTATGGCTCTTCTGTAACGAGCAGGTTTCTAAGAAACAGTGAAAGAAAATGACTCAGAGAATCTTCTCCAAGACCTAACAAACAACCTTTCTGAGGAGTGGTAAGAGGTTAAGATTTCTCTGTATTCCCTTCTTCAGGGCTCTTTTATCAACTATACATATACAAAGTAAATCCAGTCTTGCTGCTATATATTAAACTCCATCAATTAAAAAAAAAGATATATTTAGAACAATATTAGTAGTACTGCACTTCCCAAAACAGAAATAGATAACTTCTAGCAAAATGACATTTCTGGGTGGGAACTGTCCGTCCTCACTGCTGGATCAGAAAAGTTCCCCATGCAGGAGAGGAGTACCACCCAGGGTGTGAGGGCCTGGTACTCTGCTTCCACCCAAGAAAGCAGCTCAGGTCTGAAGTGTGTCTACTCCTTTGGAAAAATCTGTGCAAGTGTTTGAAGAGAAACACTTGAAGGGAGAGATTCAGAACTCTGTGATTCACTGGGCCTCTGGAAATGAAGTGTCAACAATCTTAGATCACTGAGTCCTGACTCAAACCCAAATCAAAAAGCTTCATGGCAGATGGCCCTCTCTGGTTAGCTTGCCACTATAAACTGGCATCTCCAATTTGTGAAAACATTCTTGCTGTCTGGTGTGTACAAGAATATGATTCATAAAATTATAGTTAAGCAGTATAGAAAAACATACTTAAGTCCATCCTGAAGGAATTAATTACCTAGAAACAGAAAAAAAATGACAAAGGAACATCTCTTTTCAAGATTAATTTTTACTCTAAAAACAGGTTCTCTAATTAACCTCAATTTGTTTTTTCTTCTTAAAATCATATAAAATAAGAAAAGTAAGGCCTAAAATACATGACTATGGGAAAAATTTATGTGTATGTAGATTTTTAAGATCAGAATTAGACCTAGACTTTGGATTTAAAATTAAGAAAAAGCTTTCCTCTTCTAGATACTATTTCATTTCTCCTTTCCTATAAGAATTTATCCTACTATCTGCATACTCTTCGAACTCAAACAATCAACATGTATTATTTATAAGAATACTCATTTGAAACAATCACTCTCCTTTTAAAATTTCCAACTAAAATGGGAAATTAATGTACCATTGGGTGGGAATGCTGAACCAAATTCCCGATAATACGACACCTTACTGAAGTTATGTGACCCTTCTTTTAACTCCAGGTACCGTCAGGGAGTGAGAGTGCTACAAGCACACTGGGGAACGACGTGCAGCGAATGGAGACTGAAAGTATTACATGGTGATGGAAAGTATTAAAATGATGTAAAATAATACTACAATTAGGGAAGGAACAATCTGTGAGGCAAATGAGTAAGAACAGTGCAGTATTTTTTTTTAAATGAATGAAAGGCAGTAAACTTTGTACCATAAACTTCTCCTATATGAGGTACCACAGCCACCTTTGACTCAAAGTTGCTAATATTTAAAAAGGCAATGGCAGTTAGTGATGGGCAAGACAATGAATTAATAAGATGTGGCACAGTATCAACTTAGCTACTGACTTCATATATAGATTTAAACTCCAAGAATTTTTTTTCCCAAAATATTTTGGGCTATATTTCTTTGTCTTTACTGAATTATATACTGAATCTTTTTTTTTTTTTTGATATGGGGTTTAAACCCCACTTGAGCCATGACCTCAGGCCCTCTTCCTCCTTTTTGCATTACTTATTTTTTGCCTGGGCCTGCCTTGGACAGCTTTCCTCCCACTTACAACCTCCCACACAGCTGGGGTCACAGGTGTGATCCAGCCTGGCTTCGTGGCTGAGACCGGGGACTGTCTTGCTAACTTTTTGGCTGGGCTAGCCTTGAACTGAGTAGCAGGATTATAGCATGAGATAACCATGCCCCAGCTCCAGCTTTTTTTTTTTGAGATAGGGTTTCAGTAACTTTTTTGCCTAGACTGGTCTTGAACAGCAGTCCTCCTATCTCCAGCTCCAATTGGCTGGGATTACAGACATGTGCCACCATGCCTCTATATTGAATTTTTCTGGAAAATAAAAACAATGCTAAATTTTTATACCAAATAAAATTAAAATTGTAATTTAGCAAGTGATCACACACTCTTTGTTTCCATTAGTTCCTTCCGACTGAAAATTTAACTTTATAAAGGATATTCTTGCATTTTCAAAACATCTAAAAGAGTTAAAGGTTTTCGAACAAAAAAGTTGAAGTGGAATGCTGCCCATTACTAACACACCTCATAATTATTAGTTATGCGTGAAGCAGTAGGTTTCCTGGTGAGAGCAGTGAGTGTCCAGCTGTTAGTGAGCAGCAGACAGCCCTGGAAGGCGCCGATTAGAACAAAGCCCAGAGAGTAGAACTGTACTGGTCAGCAGAAATGACACCAGCTTTTCAACTCTGAGGAGCTTACAGAAGAACAAACTGAAACCCAATCTTTTAAGTTAGTCTAGTCTACCATGCACTTAAAAAAAGAGAAAACAACAAAACAAACAAATCCCTCTGCAAGTAGTTTGCATTCTTTTGTGATAATTGGTGCTTTACCTTTTGAGGAATGGTATCATCTGGTGTCTCAGGCTGTTTACTTGGGGTCTCAGACTGAAAACAGGGTATTAAGTACAGATACATCAGAAAACAAAAAACATACAAATCACAAAAATAAAAATTTCTTGAGGACCATATGAAATACAGATGTACTCATTCACTCACTCACTCAGAAATCTAAGCAGCATCCTCAGCTGCTCAGACAGTTTCTCAGCACCTCTTCTTTCTCTTCGATCAAAAGCAGTTTTGAATAAAACTTAAATACACCCAAAGTGTCAGTATTACTGCACAGAACAACTCCTAAACATCACACAAGCAAAACTTCAGCACAGGCCACAGTCATGGATGATTTACAGGTAACTCACTACATGGTTTCAAAAGGAGAAATCTGCAATCTGGCTAATAGAGGCCCTCATACTTGCTAGAACCTTCCATCTTTCTTACCCTATGTCTATTCCCAGATTTGTGTTGCAAAAAGAGCAACTGTGTGATCTAATCTATCACTTACAGTATACCTCCTTACAGAAAACAGTGAGTGCTTATTAGTCAAAGACCATCTTGCCACAAAAGCCCTAGAACCTATTCTTTTCATTAACTTCTCAGACACCAGCTGCAAGTGGAATGCTTTTTAAAGAACAAGAGTATTTTTATAGCTCTCTTGAGCTGTAGTGTGGCTAGCACACAGGTAACTACAGAGAGACAATAAGACAGTCAAGAACAACCTCCAACCTTTCTTCCTTTTCATGGTTTGTATCTGGAGGTGATTTTCAGTACCTTTCCCTGCAGTAAGTATGAGCGGGCAAAATGTTTTCACACATTTTCTTCCCTAGGCAGATGCTGTGTTGCTAGCAGACTTTCAAATACTTTCTTTATATGGTTTGAGTGAACCACTCGCTTTAAAAGTAAACATATATTCCTTATATTGCAGAATGATCTTTAAAATATGCATCAATGTTCTATTTTGGGAAAGGAAATGGGTTTGGACGACACGGTGTAGTGTGTACATTTGTTAAAACTCAATGAATGGACCACAATAAAGTAAAGTAAAAGTCTTCTAAAGGCAAACAGGCATACGGCTCCACACTGAAAAACAAAGGAAGAATAGGCACTGGGAGTACAGCTCAGTGGCATGGCACTTGCCTAGCACACAGATGCAGGTTCAATCCCCAGCACCACAAGCGCACACACAAGACCAATGTACAGGAAGACTCATGTACTTCAGTGTATACACAATTTACCTCACTAAAAAAGAGAATTATAAACAATACTGAACTCTAATTAATGATATGCCTGGAGAAGTATTTTGATATTCAACTCATGTTAAAAAAATAAGATGGACAGCTGCAAAGATACGTGATTAACCACTATTGCAAAATGGACCAGTAACTATTCTCAAACCCAGCTTTGATATCTGTTCCATGTCCCACTCCATCACTCCAGCCAGAAGATGGGCAGGCGCGTCACACATGCTGGTATTTCCCTGCAGCTCACAGTTGAGTGCTGGCTGGAGGTTCTTATTTTACTAAGAGGTCTGGTTTCAACAGCAGATATGCATGTTATAGCAAAAATTTTGGTATTGTCATGGTTCCCTTTCATTAAAAAAAATCACACTAAATTATTACTATAATTATATTTATACAAAAATCTCAATTTTTCAAAGTCAGAATTTTTAGAATATAATTTTATAGTCTTTTTTTACTTCCAACTTTTCCATAACTCTTAGAAAAGGAACCTTAAAACCAAATTAGGTTAGCTGGGCATGGTTGTGCATGCCTATAATCCCAGCTATTGGGGAAATGGAGATAATGAGGATTGTGGTTTGAGGTCAGTCTAGGCAAAAAGTTATCAAGATCCCATCTCAATCAACAAGCCAGAGGTGGTGATGCATGCCTGAATCCTAGCTACATAGGAGGTGTAGAAGGGATAGCAGTCTGAGGCTGGCCCTGGGCAAAAAGTGTGAGGCCCATAGAAGAAAAATAACTAAAGCAAAAAAAGGCTGGAGGTGTGGCTCAAATGTTAGAGCACCTGCATAGCAAGCTTGAGGCCCTGAGTTCAAGTTCTAGTACCACAAACAAAACAAAAAGTCAGCCTTATACCCCAAGCAACCTCATATTAAGCAAGTAGAGGCCTTTATCCCCAGGTATTTGCAAAGAGTAGCAGGTTTGTTTGAGATTGTTGATTTGTAAAAGGAGACTAAAAAATTAAAACCTAGTTTACTATTTAAATTCCATATTTTTCAAATGGAAAATTAAAAGATTTGATGTTCCTTTTTAGGACTCTGAGTAATGAGAGAATTGCCTCAATACATTCAGGTTTTACATCTTCTTTATAACCCAGGCTTACATTCTAACAATCTATAGCCAATACTACCACCTGAAACACAGGACAGCAGTGCCATTCAACACAGATGTTTTAACCATGAACTCTGCCCCAAAAGGCAGTCACTGTCACAGGTGGCAGACTGCTTTATGTGAGAACACTGAGAACTGAGAGTTCTCAGGTAACTCTCAGTAATTATCACCACGGGTTCTTTTATTAAAATAATGTTAGTTGAGAAACTTTTAAACTTTAAACTTTCAAAGCTGCAAATGAACCCCATCAAAATATTTTATATTCTATAAACTTCAAAATTAAAATCAAGAAGTGAAGTTCCAAACTTTTTCTAATATACTTTTAAAAATATGCTATGTGACATTATCAAGGCTTAAGAAACAAAACTTTAAAAATTTATAAATGATTAAATAAATTTCATAATTAAAATCAGAAATTTTAAAATAAGAAATTAAAATTTTAATCACCATTATATTCTTCAGCTTCAGGGACTGAACTAAAAACATCAATGTTTCTGAGAAGCAATACCCTTTTTTTTTTTTTTTGGTGGCACTGAGGTTTGAACTCACAGATTCATACTTACTAGGCAGGTGCTCCACCACTTGAGCCATGCTCTGGCCCTTTTTTGTTTTTTGGAGGCACTGGGGTGACAGGCACATGTCACCACACAGGTTTTATTGGTTGAGTTGGGGTCTTAAGAGCTGTCTGCCCAGGCTGGCCTTGGACAGTGATCCTCCCACCTCTGTCTCCTGAGTAGCCAGGATTACAGGTGTGAACCCTTGTCCTTGGAAGCAATAATCATTCTGAACAAAGAAGGCAAAAGATCAAGTCACTTGCCCTTGCTCCAGGTAAAGCCTGTGTTAGATACCAACAACCTTCAAAAGCAATTTTCAGGTTGGCACATACCTGTTATATTGCAAAATCAGAGCTGTATTTATAAACCTGTATGCATGGAGGACAGCACATTTATTGGGAGGAACAGATTGGCTTCTAACACTAGGCACAATACAGTGCCTGAGTTCAGACAGAGGTGGCTTTAACATGAGGTTAATGAAGCTCAAACCACAGGCGAGCCGACTTCCCCTGGGCCCTTTACAAAACCTTGGCCTTAAAAAATTTTGTATTTGTAATTTTGTACTCCTCTTCTTACAAAGCTCTCTCCTAAACAGTGTAAACATCAGGACCCAAAAAATCTGATGCTAACCTTTTTTACTGGAATAATTCCAGAATTAAGGAAACTACAGAATCTTGAACAGGAATCAGTGAAAAACACCTGTAAGTTAAGGAAGACAGCCAGTGGTCCATTCTCCCTGCATTTATTAACACTAGGCACTCTGAAACATTAGCAAATACACTCACAGGCTATGGATGATCACAAAACAGGGAAGCAGTGGAGTCTTCTCATCTGAAAAGTGATTCAGTATGGAGAGCTGCTTACTCCATACTTAGCCACAACCCAGAGGGTTTCTTAATTTTTCTAGGTTTCGGCTCCTTGCTGGTAAAATGGGATAGTAACATGAACTGGACCTGAGTGTGCTTATGAGACTCAGGTGGTAACGCATGCACACTGCTCTGTAGAGCCTCTAGCTCACTGTGCTTTGTAAATACTGCCATGTGTTGCGGAACACCAGGGACCTGGTCTGAGAAATGTGTCATGAAGCAATTTCATCATTGTGCGAACACCACAGAGTGTATTAACATGCACTAGGATGTTACACTAGGCGATACACTTTTATGAGACCACTGTAGAATATCTGACCCACTGTTCAGTGAAACATTGCTAAGTGGTGCGTTAGTGTTACTAGCTCCTCTGACTTGATTTCAAGGTAGAAGTTAACAACAGATGCTTCTCCTTTTGAAATTTTCTGCTCTCAACATTGCCAAACTGCATAGACCATAAAATAAAAGTAGTTATTTCACATTTATAAAAGATTCTGAACCACCAAAACCAAAATAAAAATTATTCACTAAGGAAATTCTATCATGACAGGTTAACCTTGGTTCATACATGAACTATGTAGCATGAAATTCAGTTCTCATGTAAATGTATCTAAATGTATCTCCAACATTTCTCAAGTGCCTTACTTTTTCTACTGTGTAAACCACCTGTCAACAACAAGCGCCACAGAGTACGTAACTATCATGACTGTGCTTGTTTAGATTTTGTGGCGGCTGAACTCCTTTGCTCAGGGGTAAAATACTGATGACACTGAAGGTTTAGATGAGACTCTTGGATAGTTTACTTTCTTTTTATCTGATATAGAAGCTTAAATATACTTTCGTGAAAACTAATGGATGTTACAAAGAAGGCAAAAATTACAGACAAGGTAAAAATACAGTTATTGGAAAAATAACCATATGCACAGTATATGCCTCACTTAAAACTGAGTTGGTCACGTTTGGGAGAGCATATTTATTTTATAGTCTAGCATTCTTGAATGGACTCAGTCTAAATGAGTGTTGACTTAAGAAATAGTTTACCAAATTGCTATGGGCTTAAATTCTTTTTGGTTTTTTGAATCAGGGTTTCACTATGTAGTCCAGGCAGACTGCAAACTCTTCAATCCTCCTGTCTCAATCTCCAGAGTGCTGGGATTATAGATGTTTGCTTTTATAAAAGTAGGTGCTGGTAAAGGCTACAAAAATATAGATGTATTAATTTTTCACATGATGCTACCATATTAGAAATTGTAGTGCATGAACATACAGTTATACCAAGTGTAGCATTCTTGATACAATCAAATGGCTTTGAAAAAAAACAGTCTGTAGGGAGCTATCTCCAAATAACTTAAATACCTATTAGTAGGATCTAAGACCAATATTATTTTGAAAAAATTATTATAAGTTGACAAATTATAATTGTATGTATTTATAGGATACAAAGTGGTATTATACATATAGTATACAACTCAGGATAGTAAAATCAAGCTAATTAACACACCTGTTACCTCAAATGCTATAATTTTTTGCAGAAAATACATGAAATATGCTCAGCACTTTTAAATATGTAATGCATTACTAGTAACTAACGTTTCTAACTAAAACTTTATACCGTCTGACCAAATCTCCTCACTCTGCTGACTTCCAAGTGTCTATAAACCACCATTCTACTCTCTGGTTCTAAGATCAGTTATTTTAGATTCCACATGAAGCAAGACTCTGTGGTATTTGTCTTTCTGTGCCTAGCTTATTTCACTTAGTTAGCATGTCCTTCAGGGTCATCCAGGTCATGAAAATGATAGGACTTCCTTCTTTTCACAGGCTGAATAGTATTCACTGCGTATACGTCACACATTTTCTCTATCCATTTTTTCAGATGAACACTTAGGTTGATGCTAAGACCTAAATTCTAAATACCATCAGGCCAATGGGTACAAGAATAATGGAGCTGAGGTTCTGGCATGGGAAAAAAAAGATACTGAGTGCTTGTTTTATGCCAAACACTATTCTAAGTACCTTACTATTATTATTATTTTGGCTGTACTGGAAGTTTAATCAGGGTCTTGCACTTGCTAGGCAGGGACCCTACCACTTGAGCCACTCCACCAGTCTTTTTGTTGCACTGGTTATTTTTGAGATAGGGTTTCGCTTTATGACTAGGCTGTTCTGGACTATGGTCTTCCTATGTGTGCTTCCTGCCTAACTGGGACAACAGGTGCACCCCACTATGCACAGCCATTGGCTTAGATGGGGGGGGGGTCTAATGAATATTTTGCCTGGGATGACCTCAAACTGCAATCCTCCCAATTATCTATCTGCCAAGTATCTAGGATTTTAGGTCCTAGACTTTACTAATTTTAGTTATTTAATCCTCCTTACAGTCCCCTATGAGGTGGAACTATTATTTTCTCCATGAGGAAACAGAAACTTCAAGAGATTTCATGACATTTCCTCACATAGTAAAGTGGCAGTGCCAAGTTTTAAACCCAGGCAGCATGGCTCTAGGGTCTGTGATCTAAACCTCTGTACTATGACGTCTCCCCGTTACACTATTGCATTCTACAACCATCACCCTGACGTTATCAATCTGACATTGCTTGACAAATTTTCCACTTTAGGTTATTGACTTACTCAGGAAAAATGTATACAGAGAAAAGAAAGAGGCTTTATGACATTTAATTTTGCATACTCACCGCCACATTTGTCTCTTGTTCTGTTTCTGGCATGTAAGGATAATGGTTATAAAACATATCATTTCGCACCATTTTTTTCCTCATTCTGCAGGGCCCTTCTGTCATTTCCAACATCCATTTGTCTAAATGGGAACCAATGGGGGGACCCCATAATCCTCGCTCCCGCAGCAGCTCACACTCGATCTGGCACCACTCCTCTGTCACATACTTCAGGGCATTCTGCTGACGCTAGTGGGAGAGTCCAAAGTTGGTTTTTAAGCCAAAGTAGAATAATAAAACACATACAAATAACCTAAATCAAGTTATTATTGACACCATGCTGTTTTTATTGTTATGGCTCTGTAGTAGTTTGAAGTCAGGAACTGTGATACTTCCAGCATTGGCCTTTGTGCTCAGAATTGCTTTGGCTAGTCAAGGTCTTTTGTTTTTGTATGTATTTTAGGATTGATTTTTCGATCTCTGTGCAGAATGTCATTGGAATTTTGATAGGGATTGCACTGAACATGTAGATTGCTTTCGTATGGGCATGTTCACAATGTTGATTCTACTGACCCAGGAGCATTGGAGATCTTTATATTTTCTGATGTCTTCTTTGGTTTTTACACTTTTTATAGAAAAGATCCTTGGTTTCCTTCGTTTACGTTTATTCAAGGTACTTTTTTTCCCCCAAGGTACTTTTTTTTTTTTGAGGCTACTGCAAATGCAGTAGCCCTAATTTCTTTCTCAGCCTGGTATATAGGAAGGCTATTAAGTTCTGCGTATTAAGTTTTGTATCCTGCTACTTTGCCAGTAGCAAAGTAGTTTTTTGATGGAGTTTTTAGGGTCTTTTAGGTATAGGATCATGTCATCTGCAAATAGGGATAATCTGACTTCTTCCTTTCCTATTTGGATCCTTTTTATTTCTTGCTCTTGTCTTACTGCTGTGGCTAGCAATTCCACAGGGGTGGCAAAAGTGGGCAACCATATCATTCCTGACTTTAGTGGGAATTAACCATACAATTTAAATATTAAAAATAAAGATCTTTTGGTATAAATAACAGTAAAGATTGCTGAATGAATTATCATGAAACTGCATACCATAGTAAGTACTTATGTGTACCTGGGGGGAGGCCCTGTAATAACTAAGGATGTAATGATGTTATTAATACTATTAATCATTCAGTGCTGCATAGAGCTGAAACAGCTACTTCAGAAATAAGATATTTAGGATAAGTTGTTGAGTAATTATGAATATAACAAAAGGATTTCACAGACTTCATTTTTCACTGACATAATCACTAAGTACTTAGTAAAAAGAATTTTATCTTGTAAGTTTTTTTTACAATTTTGAAAGATTTCTTGGAGATTTTGAGACCTATGTTCAGAACCCCTTTGTTAACAGTCTGAAAGACTATTTTATTTGATTAGGAAGAACATATGCGATATGCCAGCAGTGATGATTTTCAATGTATTTCTGTTTTCAATGCAGTTTGCTCGTAGGAAATGGAAGTTTTCTATTTTAACATCCATGGCTAACGCAGCTTATAGTAAGGACAGCTGGAACCATCATCTGGTGGTCAGCACCCTACCCTTCAAGCATGTAGGAAGGCATCAGGAGAAACAGCTCTTTCATATTCATACCCAAGGAATGCAAAACACACCACTGCTGTGCTTATGAGTTCTTACCTCCTGATATTCTTTGTACTGTGTGTCTACCAGATCACGAACAACAGCAATATGTGTAAACATCCACTGAGAAATCTCCTAACAATGGATGGAAAAAAGAGTCTTAATATTTCATGGCATTTCTAGAAAAAATGAGTTAGCTAGCTTTGAAATTAATGCTGAACTAGTTAAAATTCTGTCAAAAGTGCCTACTACCAGAAAACAAATGCAAAAACAAACAAACAAACAAACTAAAACACTAAACTCAACCAGCATATGAAATGACTAAAATACACTGTTTCTCTCAAGACCCTTGGCACAGCTGCCTCTGAAACACTGGGATGGTAAAGGAAGTATGATAAAGAAATCAGTACCGATAAAGATCAATAGTGGAGGTAGATGAAATTAAAAAACTGATTACAATTACTGACAATAAGATTATAAAAAAGGCCTTATATCTGTTATTGCCTTAGCAGTATTATTCAAAGTTGGGAAAATTATCTATATAGTCTGTTTATCAATCTCTGAATCTCATTTTATGAGGTTCATATGGGGGTAAAGACACAGTACTCATAATGCAATTTTATCATCATAAAATGAGAGATGTTCCTGTAATCTAGGTTACTTCTATCTTGCCTCCAAAGCAAAATGCAGAAAAGTTTCAAGTCATTTGCTTCTCTATACAACAAAAGTTTGAAATACAAATTCCTAATGATATTTCAATGAAACTAAACAATATACCTGGGTGGAAAGACTGTGTTTACTAAGACCACTTTCCTTTCGATTCCTTCTTGATCCTGTTAACTTGGAAAGACCAAAACCACTGCTGACACGGGACAGTTTGGATTGCGTGGTGGGCACTAAAGCTTCTCCGCGACTTATGCATTTCTTTTCATGAGCTACGAAATTAAAATTAGATTTTTTTACAATTTATCCATGTACTTATTAGTCTCACTTTCAATACTTTTATATCATGGTTAAAGTCCTACTCATTATCTATGGTTTTGCTTTCTGTAGTTTCAGATACTTGCAGTCAACTCAGTTTGAAAATATTAGTATAATGCAATAAGGAATTAAGATATTTTTAGAAATATTCCACATTCACATAGCTTTTATTACAGTTTTTGCTACAATTATTCTATTTTATTATTAGCTACTATTCTTAATCTCTTATTGTGCCTACTTTGTAAATTAAATGTCATCATGGGTATGCAGATATAGGGAAATACAACATATGTAGAAGCCAGTATTACCCAGCTTTAGGCATCTACCATGGGTAGATCTTAGAAATGTATTCCCCAGCAGTAAGGGAAGATTGCTATGGTTATCAAAAGTAGCATGTATTACAGATGCAGGTATTTCTCTTAGATGTCACGAACTTATTTGTTGGTAATCTTGTTTAAGAATGGCTGCTTGAGAATTATTGCGCTAGTTGAACTTTGAAATATCACAGCTTTGCAATAACATGCAAATTTATTTTAGTTAAAATGAGTTTCTATATTAATAAAAATCCACAATCCCTTATCTAAAACTTTTGTTGCTGGGTATGTTTTGGAACTCAGACTGTCTAGGATTTTAGGAAGGCTATGCAGTTCATTCACTGTACAGTATATAATACCAGCTGAAGGTCTAGGATAGCAAACCATAATTTACACATTAATATTATTACAGCAAAATGTTTAAATATTTGTACCAAGCACAATAAAGAAACATAGGTTTTGTTACCATGTGAGTGTTAACACCAAATTAATGAGAAAACCTTAGGTTTTCAGGGTTTTTTAAGTTTAAGAGTTATGGATAAAAGATTGTGAATCCACAATCAAGACAGTGACCATACCAAATGTGCGTTGACAGCAATATATTATTTTCATGTCTCACAAATGCCTAATGTGTAACATACCTTAAATGTAAAAAGACTCTTCTTACATAAGAAAAGTCAAATCTCAGTATATTTGTCTAAATGGCTCTGCTGTATTTTCATTTCAATTTCCACCATAATATTCTTACGGGAATGCTTTCATTTTACAATGCACCCCATAATCATGAGCTCTGTAGGCCTCCTTACCCAAATGATTCTGCCAGCACTTCAGACTAGCTTCTTCAATGAGTGGCCTTGCCATAGCTATGTCTACATGGCCCCTGTCGTTCATGGGCAGGGTTACTTTGAAAAGTTCTTCCAAGACTTGTTTCTTACTGTGTATTAGCTCAGTCCAAACTCTGTTGACAGCTTTTATGAGAAGCTGACGCCCTAGAAAATAAAAAAGCAAGCAAATGATCAAAACACAACATAAAGTTGTTATTATCTTCATGTTTATATCTAGGAATTTCAACAACAGTATTTAATGGTTTCAAGAAATGGTAAGTTATACCCAGCTCAGTGAAAATGGTTATTTAGACAAATCAAACTAAGTTACCAAATAGTGAGCCATTTGGAAAACACTTACAAAATCTTTATATGCATGTAAAAATGTATTTCCACAGGAATTAAATGCATATTTAATTTATCTAGCAACTTCTAGGCAAGAACTTATTCTCCATTTAAAAGTTTTATCGGCTCCCCTGCAGTGTTGAGGATTGAAGACAGACCTCATATGTGTGAGGCAAGTGCTTTATTACCGGATACACCTTTCACCCTTCAAAGTAATTTTTAGATCTGAAGATTTGAATAGAGCTCAAAACTAAGTCAGTTGTTCTTGGATATTTTACAAAAGGAAAGAGCTTTTGTATTTAAAAAAAGTTTTTACTATAAAATTCAGTCTTCATTTTTACTTTTTATAGTAAAAAAAGGTTTTTACTCTAAAATTCAGTCTTCAATTACCTTGCTAATTGACCTGTCTCAAGGGCAACATTGGGAGGGCTTATCACAACAGACCACCAATGACAGCCCCAGAGTTTCTGATTCAATAGAGCTGAGTGGGACCAGAGAATCTACTTTTCTACCATGCTCCCAAATCACAATGATGACGCTAGTCTGAGGACCTTACTTGGGAAACCAATGTTCTATACTACCAATTCCATAAGGAGGTGAAAACATTGCATTCTGAGGTGAACTTCAGTGTGTGGCTCAAGAAATTTTGGTAGAAGCAGAGAGAATAAATAATCACTTAAATGAACGAGTGAAGGGAAAGAAAGGTGAGTGCTGAATCTCCTAAGGATGAAACCCCGTGCAAAGCTACCACATGATCTTGCTGGGAGATAAACACTACCATAGTGATCTAGGCTTTAACACTGGATGTGTGGAAATAAGGAACAAATGTACATAATGGTGTGCAGAAACCAGTCCAATGTGCAAGTGTTTACAAAACCAATGGGAAAACTAGACTTTGTAAAACAGAATAAAATGGAACTACTGACAACCTGTCTGAAATAACACTGCCTCTAATGGGGAAATGCCTGATACCACCACGAAGCAGTTTTCTTTATAAACAATGCCAAGTTAGTATTTGCAGGGTAAATGGCATCAGGTGTCCACTATTACTAAGAAACACGGAGGGTCAACACTACCAGTGTTAGTGATTCGCTCCTCTTGCCTAGGAGATACGCTGTGGGCACACTGGTATGGTACACTGTGTACTGTCCTACTCTAGAACAGCTGTTAATGTTGGCAGTTTTTTAAGTCAATTTTTGTTACATATTAAAATGAAAAATCAATAAAACACTCTAACTTAGTGAGGGGATTTACCTTCACTGATATCTTGGCCATACCCAGCATCTGGTTCGATGTCGGAGGGGATCATAATGTGCCAGGTAGTCATGCGTGCTTCCGCTTCCAGTCCAAACCCATCCACACTGCTGAAAAATTGAAGTCAGGTCAAACCACGTGAAGGAAATGGTCATAGCTGAAAACTACGATGAAGAGGAATTTCTCTGTAGACACATGTGAACACTGGCTCTATCACAAAGTTCCATGATTGGTAGACAGACATTCAGCAGATGCATAAAATGGAACTTCTAGTTTACCACATTTTTCAGGGGTGATCTCACAAATCCACTTGACTAAACATAAGTAATGTGTAGCACTGAGATTATCATCTCAACATTTAAGATGATTTTAGTTTATTGTTAACGTTTTTAGTTAAAAGTTAAGAAAAGGTCATTTAACTCCTACTCTGCCTGTGGCCTCTCCAGTCTCCCCTCTTTGCTCCAGTAGCAGTGAAATACTTACAGTTTTCCAAGTGTGCCACGTTCCTTCTTCCACTTGGACAGTCACATAGATACCTCTTCCTTCCTGCAGCACTCGTTCCCATTCTCCTGTCCTCCCCAGTAAGGTCTCAATTTGTCCCTCTCAGCAGGTGTTTCCCCTATAAGGTGCTCCCAAAGCACTATGCTGCTTCTTCCAGAGCTCTCAGTACAGCTGACTAGTTTTGCTTAGTTATCTGTTTTCCCTTCAAAAAGGTGGTCACACATCTTTCTTTCATTTTACTCCAGTCTCTAATTCAATATTTGGCCCCCAGTAGACACTAAATGGCTGTCAAAGCAATTAATAGAAAAATACTAATTTTATCCAATTAACACATATCACTGCACTGAGCTTTCCTTTCTATTTTTGTCAGCCTCCAACAGTGTGTTGCTCTAAAAGGACATTTCCTTTTTAAAATTATATGAGTGACATGATTACTACAGAAAAATTTAACGATGGAGAAAAATGAGTTGAAGGAAAAAGTTAGTTATTATTTCTTTGTAAAAATGTAACACTTGTCCATTATCTTTCATAGAAAGTGCTAAATAAAGTAGCTTAAAGGAAAAAAAGAAATGTTATCAAAAAGTAAAACAAAGAATTTTTTGGAATATATCAAAGACAAATTCAACATGGCAAATTGAATCCAAAAGCTGTACCTTCCAACATGTAGGTTAATCAAGCAGTGAGCGAGACAGCTGATGAACTCTTGGTCATGGTTTCCAGGTCCCAGGATCAAGTTCCTGTTTACAGTAAGGACCCTGAGAGAGTCAAGGAGAGCTACTTGCTGAGGAACAGTTTTGTGTGCCCGTGAAAACTGGTACAAGATGGTCCTATTGAGGCAGTGGTAAACCGCATCCAGTGACAATCCCTGTGACCTTCTCTTGGACTAAAGGCAGGAAAAATACATATTCAGTAAAATGGACAAAAATGAAGGACCTGCTTATTATCCATGAGCTTTGACTAGCTACAATGTACCAGATGCTCTGTTAAGTACTAGAGGTGCTAGGTTAAAAAAAAATACTAAACCCTTGCAATTATGAATTCAAATCCTATGAGAAACCTAAGAACAATTTAACAAATAGAGGGAGTGCTAAGAAAATGGAGAGTTCCTAGTGAGAGCCACCACAGTCCAATATGGCACAACAGCTACTGTGTGCCAACTTGATACACCAAGTATCATTTGGGTCAGTTTCTACCAAGCAAATTTTATTCTGATGAATCATCTCTATGCAAAATTACTAAGAAAATTACCTAAAATTTTAGTGAACTTTTTTTATGATGTTCTAGTTTGGCTTAACTACAGAAGTATCATTATTATTTTCTTGCAGTATTGGAGGATTGAACCCAGAACCTCGTGCATGCTAGCCACCTTGTTCCCCCTCCAGTCCTTTTGTTCGCATTTTTGTTTTTGAGGTAGGGTCTCACTAACATTGCCTGAGCTGGCCTCAAACTCATGATCCCCCTGCTTCCTCCTCCTGAGTAGCTGGGATTACAGTTGTGCACAAGCAGGCCCTGCTAGATGTATCTCTTAAAAGATTCTTAGGTAACAGGAGAGAACCTATCCAGCTATACCATATGCTAATAAAACATGGTAATAGCCCTACCTATGTTCTACATCATATGGTGAATAAGATTAAAATTTGTGCCAAACCAGACCTGTATTCCCTATTCAAACATGAACAAGAAAAAAATTGACACTTCAAAGGAACATGAACCGCAATGGAATTTCCAAAGATACAATTGACAGGAAAAAAATTTTTTCAATATCAATTCTTCACGCTCAGTAAGCCTTTTTACACTGAAGTATCATTCTGTAAAAACTGATCAAATTGTATTAACCTTATAAATTATATCAAACTATTAATACTTATCAAATCGTATGAATGTAATTTAAATGCATGTGGGTAACAAAGACCACCACCAGTGGGGAGGTCAGTAAAGACTGGCCACAGCTTGAGAGAACATGGCAACATGACAAAGGGATGCTGGCACCAAGCTACTGGTAGGAAGGAGGGTTAAAACGTATTTTTAAACTCACTTTTAATAAGCTTAGCAATGTTCATATTCATTATCTTGTCAGTTACACTATTTCCAGTAATTTTGACACCATAGGAAAAGTTTTTCAGAAGGAAACACACACTCTACAACTAACAGTGATGACAGATTACCTGTGCAATTAGTTGAATTATAAAATCTATAAGAAGTTTAGATTCTTTGTTGAACATGCCTTGCCAAAGCTTGTCCACCACACGTTGTGTGAAATAAAACACATTGTTCACCAATACCTGGTAGCTCCCTCCACTGGTAATAGGCAGAGATGCATCTTCCCCTAAAATCCAGCAGGAAAAAAATGTCTAAGAAAATTGATATCTACCAGCATAAGACCAGATCCTCAAAGAAATCAGGCTAAGGAGAAATGGGCACATCCGTAACACTTACGTACTATGGTAAGAAAATGACATTTGTGGCCAGAAGTCAGGATAAATACTGGGAGAAATACTTTGTGCAGGAAAAAAAGAGGTATATGTTAAGACTTCCTACAAAGTCTTAAACTTAAACACAGGCTGTGACAAGCAAATAGTTCTTCAACTTAGGCTGTCAGTGACAGGGCATCTCCTCCAGAGAAAAATGAGTCAGTTTACTAGCTAAAAAATAGATTCAGTGTATAACCCACAAAACTCTATTTTGGGGTCTACCTTTAATATAGGCAGAAGAAGCTCTAGAGAAATCGTGAAATCAAGTAGAATCAAGGACAGTGTGAAGAAGGGTCCATGGCCTGAGTGATCATCATCAGCTGCCTCTCCTCTTAAGGCTACCAATGGCTGTGTTGCCATATATTTATACTGGTTCAACATAATCACAGCCCCTGCTTCTAACAGAGTGCTCCTTCTAAACAAATCCACTGTAGAAATTCTGGAAGCTCCACTGAATGTGATAACTATTATTCCACCAAACCCTGAAATGCCCCATTAAGCAAAGCTCTACATTTTGTGTCTTTACGTGGCACGACTGGTCTCATCTGTCGAGAGCAGGTACAAAGGTAAATCTTGACACTTAGCTTAGTGTATTAGGATAATGTCAAAGATTCCTGGCAGATTTACTTTGGAAAAACATATAAACTAAACCATTACTATTTCTTTTCCTTTAAATTCCTATTTTATTTTTTATATCAATGGTGGTTCTACTGTAAAAGCAAGTTTTGTATTTTTATTGTAATTAGATACAAACATGTTAAAAAAAACCTGTCTGATGTATTTTGACTTTATATCCTAGAACTCATCTTAGAGAACAATATCTATGTATCGATAATTTCACTCATAGGTATATACTTAAATATGTATAAAATGTATATGTGTATGGTCCCTGTGAATAAGAATGCTTATAGTAGCTTTACTTAAAATTGTTCCAAACTGGAAAACTCTAGATGTCTATCAATAGTAAAGTGAATAAACTTATATATTGATAGAATACTGTGGAATAATAAAAATAAATGGACTCCTGCTATATGCTAAAATCTGGATAAAACTCAGAAATATAATGTTGACTATAAGAAGTTATACTGAAAAGGAAGGAGGAAAGAGATGAGGTTAAGAAGGAGACAGACTTGAGTTTTAGATAAAGGACAATGATTCAACAGGCATTTTTACAAAATAAATACAAAACACAGAATTACCCAATAATACATCAGCTGCAAGCAAATGGTCCATCACACTGTCCAAAATGTAAGTCTGAAATTCTTTTTGTTGAGTTCTTGTAGATCTTTCAGGGGAAGCCTAAATCAATAAAATTTAGAATTAGAAACAGAACTAACTACACAACGATAGGGTTCATAATATAACCATATTTACATTATGAAACGTGGCAAAAAGATGGAAAAATCCGATCGGCTAATTTTAAAAAATGACATAAAGGATGGGTATGTGCTTATAATCTTCTCCTATTTTTTTAAATCAAAGACTTAAGTGTAAAGCAAAAGTGAAATATCATCTGAATCCATTCTTTCAAAACTTCTACTCTAAACATTGCAAGTATTTAATAAATAGTGGTAATTTACTATTATGCCTCACTTTCAAAAACATGAAGACTTCTTCATCCTCAAATGCCTGGAGTTTAGGCAGTTTATAATGAAATACTGGTAAGATAAATCACAAAGCCATTAAAAGAAATATAAAAACTCAAGAATCTAGTAATCAAGAGGGTTCATCAATAGATAGGGAAACATTTACAACAAAAATAATTAGGCACATAGGTAGAACAAGTTCGTAATGGTGGAACTAGTCGATGGGACTCAGGGAAGGAGGGAAAAGAGAACAACAGAACATCAACAATATCAAAAAACATAACATCTTCACAGGAAAAGGTTATAGTATGTATTAAAAGCTGTTGAATAACGGGGGAGTGAGAGGGAAATGGTAAGAAAGAGTAATAGAAGGGGTTGAACGGACGAAAGCAAAGTATACTCACAGTGGGGATACATCGAGAAACCCTTTTGAACATCAATTTAGGTATTAGTAACAAAAGAAAGAGCTATGAAATAGATACAGTGTGTGTGGGGGAGTACTTGTGAGAAGGGAGGTGAAGGAAGGAGACTGAGGTGAGGGGATATGGTTGATGGACTTCGTATACTTCTACGCAACAGAACAAAGAAATCTCTTGCAATAGTTTTAAGTGGGGTGGGGATGGGGGTCGAGGGAGACAGTGGGGGTGATCTAACCAATGTATAGTATAAGTCTATTTGGAATTGTTACGATGAATCCCCCAGTACAACAAATGTATTCTAACAAAATTTAATGGAAAAAAAGAATCTAGTAGTCAAGAGGATACATCAATAGGGAGGGAAATATTTACAACAAAAATAATTAGGGGAACAATTTAGCTTTGAGCTTCATGGGTGTGAAGGAGAAAAATATGGCTTACAATGCTTTCTATTGTCTATTAAAAGATGCGTATTTGACTGTAAGTAAGTATATGATTTTCTACAATTGTCAAAAAGGAATGTTCTCTGTAGATAGTGGAAAGCCATGTAAGTGGTACCTTTCTAAACAGTTTTATGAAGAATATGATGATTTTAAAATCATCTTGAGCAAAAGCCTAGGGCAGAGTTAAACTATATTCTCTGATAGCATTTCTATTAGCAGTTAGGGAAGATAATTCAGGTGCTGAACCTTCAAGTATGTAACTAGCAAAGCCCTGGAAGCACAAGGAAGAAAGGTAAATAAAGATCCTTTCCTCGTCCTTAACAAATGCCAGCAGTTCATCTGGACTTTTAACAGACACTGAACAACTCAAACTGCCATGATATTCTTGATTTATGTGTTTAGAATCAAGTGTTTATGACCATGTTACAAAAGTGAGCATTACATCAGTGTTCTGTTTTTCTATCTGTTCTGATTTTTAAGGTGGTCCTGTAAGAGGTCTCAAAGGAGCAGTTAAAATCTGAGTTCTAATTTGAGATAAAAAATATTAATCTAAGGAGTCAAAAGCCAACAGCTAGGGCTGGAGAGGTAGTTCAAGTGGTAAGAACTCCTGCCTAGCAAGCATGAGGCACTGAGTTCAAAGTTACAACAAACATTTCCCTGTTTGCATGATGTTCTTATTTTAAAATGACAAAATATGGCTATTCAGTAACAGTTCTAAGAATATTAGTGTGGAGTTTGGTTGTCTTTTAGCTAATGGGAGGAAAGGTGAAGGATATCTTGTGTTTTTAATCTTAATAGCTTCCCCTGTGAAGTTGAGTAGATTAACATAATGATCAGCAGATATGTGAATAAGGCCTGCCTAGTTTTCATAACATTATACTGAGTCCTACCCAGGTTAAGGGAAGAGAAATTGAGGACTTTTAAGTGATAAATAGCAGACTGAGAGTTTCATGAGGATTTCCTTGCAATTAGCCAAGAAATCATTTTACTCAACAGTTTTAGTGACTAAAATTGACTAAGGAGTAAGGCTCTCTATTCACAGGATATAAACACTTTGAAGACAACAGTACTCTTTCAGGATCACATTTGGCTCATGGGATAAGTGCTAATGAATAAGGTTTGTCAAATCTTAGTTCTAGAGTTTGCAAAACAAGGTCTATAAACATAGAGAAGTGCTCACTCAGTCAACGATACTTATTTTTATTAAAATATTGTTTCTTGTTCCAGAAGGATTTAGGCTGGCTAAGAGGGCACTTTATCCTCTGATTCTTCTCACTCTGTGTGTTATGGAGGTAACAAGAATTCATACTTGTTATTGGCCCTATTTGCCGAGTTCTAATGGTTTTGGTGAAATTTATAGAAGGCTAACTTTTAAAGGATTTAAGATGTCATGAATGCATGCATAATTGTGTCTTAAATAATCCACTGAAGTACTCTTATGTGTCAGACATGGTGCTTAGTTATATAATTATCTCATTCGATCAGCAAAACAGCCCTATGAAATACATGCTAACATTCCCACTTTACAGATAAGGCAACTGAGGCTCAGTGAGGTTAAGTCACTTATCAAGTCACGACTAGGCTTGAAGCCTCATTTCTTTTTTCAATGTTAAAGTTTATGGCTTCATTAGACTCTGCCTGCTCTATTAGTTGATGAATTTCCACGATGAAGTTACAAATAAACAAGAGCAACACTGCAGAATGCAGACTGCAGTCTCATCATTCTTTTAGATAACATGGGTTGGCCCACCAGACAACCACAATAAAGACAGGCAAAGCCGGGACCTGCTCTGACCTCTGGCCATCAGATCTGTCTTCCTGGTGAAAACAGTGAAGCCACGCAATACAACAGTCTTCACAGGATCATCGTCTCCTGTTTGAGGCCTTAGGAGGCTTTGGGAACACACACAGAATGTCTGCACCTCACACCAAGGCCAGACAGCTGTGAACACTGCTCCTCCTGAGTGCGCTGAGGCTCTGGGAAGAAGGCATTTGGTGCTCTGTTGCTGTAATGGGCTGAGAGCCTTTTAAGAAGTAGACTCTGAGTTTCTTGGTCTGATGGCATTGTCTGACAACAATGGAGCTATACTGATATAAAAAACCTCTCCAAGTTCCTTTAGCTACTTTATGAGTAACTAAGCTCTGCTTGTTTGCTTCCCTGTAGTCACTCTGATGTATGACAAGGGGGAGGTCTTGTAGGCAATGGCTGGAAAAAACTCATTGAGTTTCTTAGACCACAGAAAGTTGCTTATGGTATCAGAGAAGGCTGCACTTGGACTCAGCCCACTAGATTTCATTATTTTTACCTTCAAGTATATACAAATACCTTTTGGTCTTTTCTCATGTACTTTCTTTCCACTAACACAACAATGCTCATTTGTAGTACATCTATTTGGTCCTCATGAGTAGTCTGGTGGTGACAGCAGAGGACTCTGATGAATGCAAGCTGGGAGAAGAGCACCTCAATTTCTGAGTATGTCTTAAACACCAGGCACTGTGTGATCAGTATTATCTACATCATCTTATTTATTCTCACAATAATTCTTATGTCATCTTATGGGTGGGCAAACTGTTAGCGGGGAGGGAACTGAACTTGGACAAGGTCACAAACTATAACCAATTCCTCAAACTATGTTTTGCTGAATGATGCACATATATTTGATCCTCACAACAATCCTGCCAACAATATGATAAAAACACCATTCTTCAGAGAATGACTATAGCTCAAGAGATTAAAATACTTGCATAACAAACGTCATATTTAAAACCAGGTATTTCTGACTCCAAATCCTATGCTCTTTCTCTTACACCACGCTGCCTTATAGTATGGGCCTTAGTCTCATACTCATGCCAGTCTGTGTGAAGGAGAATCTTTAACAGACTGCTAAAAAAGGCAATTTCACATGTCTTCATGAAGATATAATGAAGTAAGCAAATAGCCTTATGATAAAATTCTAACACTCCAAAGACTGAAGATGATTTGGTGCACATTTACCAGACTAAATGTGCAACATTTAGGGTGCACATTTAGGGTTCAAGCCCTTCCTTCATGGAGGTAAATGGCAATCATACAATTCTCTTATTCAATCTCTTTAGGGATAAAGACTTCATACTTATAAATATTAAAAATCACTGCTAATTTCTGTATCATAGGAAAATACTATAATGTTTTCATTAGCAGATATTTTTTGTATATGTATTCTGTATGTGTATGAAGTACTTCCAAGCAGTTAATTTTTAAAAACAAATTTCTATCCTTCTCCTTAGGTGGTGTCATATCTTCCTGTTTGGGAACTGGCAGGCATGCAATTAAGTAATGTAGTTAAGTAATTCAAAAATACTTACTGCTTACACCAAGGCTCTATGCTAACTGCTGTGAGAGATTAAAGGGCACACTGAACTGTTCTCTAGTAAGTTCACAATCTAGAAGCTTCAATTCTGACGTGCCTGCTCCCTCATACAACTAGGCACACTTCAACTGCGCCCCAAGTTTACGTCAAGACTAATATATGTAACATCAAACTCTTCCTATTAAAAAGTACAAATAACAAAAACAAGAGGCATCACATAATTTTTTCCATGATTAATTAGTTATCAGGGTTCCTCTAAGATTCAAAAGGCTGCCACTAGATGAATCCACTCATTCCAGACCTTTTGTAAAATGTGTTCATTTTTTTACCCAGGTATCCTTTCTTACACATATCTCTTCTGAACTTCATCTTGTTTCATTTTTCATGGGATGCTTCAAATTTTTACCACATGTACTAAGACAGTGACCATCCTTTTTTCTGTTTTTGGTGGTACTGGGGTTTGAACTCAGGGCTTCACACTTGCTAGGCAGGTGCTCTACCACTTGAGCCACTCCGCCAGCCCTTCTTAGAGCTTTTAAAAGTTTCTATAGGAGATAAGCTTATCAGGCATGCTTTTTAATTCTACTACTCGATTACTGGTAAAATTAATTTTTTCTGCTAATATTAAACATTGTGACTAAAACGCTTAGCAGGTCTGGTTCCTAAAGTGTAGTAGTGACTTCTTTTTATTGATCAAACTGAAATGTTTTCACATGAATAAGATAAATACCTGTGGTTTTAAGGTTGCACTTTAAAAAGTTAACTGTATTAGCCACTAGAGGGAGTAGAGAACTATGTGGTTCAGATGTCAGTGATGAGAGCAATGGGACATTCCTCAGAGAAAGGTACGGATTAAATGCTTCATCCATTCCCCAAAATAGACTGTTTGACCTTATTTATATGAAATGGCCACAATAACATAAGTGTAACATAAGTGTAAATAAGAGATTATTTATTAAATTCTCTCTTTGTGACCTTTATTTTCTCTAGAGATTTTTCTAGGTGAACATTTTGTTGGTTTTGGTCTTTTGTTGTGGTGGTGGTGGTAAAAATCAAACCTAGAAATTCACACATTCTAGGCAAGCACTCTAGCACTGACCTATAATCCCAAACCTAGAAGAATGTTTTTTTAATGGCTTTCAGAGATGGTTAACCTCTAGAGACAGCAGTGAGGGCAGTTATGGCTTAGGCCGCTCTCCTTTTCTGATGTATCAATGATTTGTATCACTCAGCAGGAGAAAGGGCAAGCAATCTAGAAGTCTGATGCCTTGGGAAAAATTCAATGACCACACACCGAATACTTGCGAGGTACAATATACCACGTCTTAAGCTGTACCAGACGCTAACAGCAGTAACACATGGCAATGATGGTAAGTGGGACTGAAGTAAAGAGTTATGAGGTGAGAAGAAAAAGCCACTGAGTGTTATGAATGTCTAGGGAGGGATTGACAACTGTGGCCTGTGGGCCAAATCCAGCCTGTGCTTCTTTTGGTAGATAAAGTTTATGGGAACACAGCCATGTTTCTTGCTTTCTGTAGTGTCTATGGCTGCTTTTGTATTACAATGGTATAGTTAAAGAGTTGTGACATAGTCTATATGGCCTGTAAAGCCTGAAATATTTTACTTTATTTGACCCTTTACCGAAAAAGTTTGCCAAATCCTAAAGAGAAAGAGTGATAAAGGGTTGAATTAGGGACATGCTTGAGGAATGGAAAGAAGAGCAAAAAGCTGATAAGGTCTAAAGCACAAGTGGGAGTAAAAACTTCCCACAGCCTGTGGTATGTTCTCCCTATATGCAATTTAGGTGAATTAGAAATCTGAAAGCATTTGGCATAGAACTTGCTCGGGTGTTAATGTTCTATAACAAAAACAATGGAAAGAAGATCTCTATGCATTACTTTGTCTTTACCTCCAACAAAAGATCAATTAGTGGAGTCTGCTTGCTGGCTGGGGTAAGACACAGGTTGTCTATTATTAAGACCCGCATGAAGTCAAAAACGAACTTTTTAGCTGGGTGATTGGTCAGATACGTCTTGGTGCCTACATTGCAGTACTCTGACTGGCTCCTGTTCATCCCTGTGTCTGCTGCAAAGGCTTTAAACTCTTCTGCTGGAGATCCAACTTCATCATCGAGATCAGTGACCTAGTGAAATCAAATGGACTCACTTTAGATTTTACATGACCCTTTTACTTGTGTGTTTCTTAAAAATAAAACTGTAGCAGCAGCTCCATTTTCCATTAGCCTTTATCTCCTATTAAGCCATCCAGCACATTATTTGATTCTGCTTTACTTGGCCCTTGCTTTCAAGGCGGTAATCCAGCACCATATGTCATGGTTACTCAACATATGGTCTTTCTTACTGACCACTAAAAATATACCTGCTTTTTGTGGATTATAAGTCTGTTGTGGATAACTGCACTTAAAATAAATAAGGTAATAACATGAGGATGACTATATTTGCACATTGGAAGCATATCTACTGAGAAGTCAAATTTCATGAAACTTTAGATAAAAATGGCATAAAGGGCTGATCCAATCTTTGCATGTGAACAGAACCCAAATAAATAAATAAATAAACAAAACAACAAAAGTATCACCAATTTTAACACAAATGAGAAAAAAAGACTAGCACACAGATTACAAAACGCTGGTAAGCAAAAGATATTTACATATGAAGGACTACTTTTTTTTAAACCAAATGTGAGGCTTCTCAAATCATAAACAAACCAGAATACTAAGATCATTTGTCATACTTGTTCTTCTCCTAAAAATCCACACAATTTTAGAATGAGTATTTTACCTTTGTATGTGGAAAAAAATTATCAAGAAGGTAGTTTATTCCAGACTCTACATTAGATAGAAACAAGATAAAACATCATGGAATTCAGAAGTATTATAAAGGAATAATTATCTTTTGGGCTTTTAAAGGACAGAAGTATCTATATTGTTTGATTATAGCCTAATAATTTTCTATTAAGTTAGTACAAAATAAGAAAAAATACAAGCTGAACAAAATTAGAAAAGTTGAGAAGAAAAAACCAACATGCATTTATTTCATTTTTATAAAGACAATCAACTCAATGATTCATTTGTAAAAATTAAATCCAGCAAATACCTACTTCCTAAAATAAAAAAGAGATTTTGCCTGACTAGAGTTAGGTACCTATAAAGAACATTTTATAATTACACAACTATCATCATATGAAATAAGAAATGGATCAACAAGTCCCTGGAAAGGGAAAGTACTAACAAGGGACTAAGAAGAATATGGCAAATGAAAACAGGAAGCAGAGTCCACTGCCATTTTAGGGGAAAGCAGAAGGAAAGTGTGGGGAGCTAGAGACACCAGACAATGTTGTAAGAGGTGGTACATCAAATTATGAAACTATAACTTGGTCAGAAGCTAAAAAGATTGGCAAAAAAAAAAAATCTGCTAACCATTGGAACAGACTAATTCCAGTTTTGACATTTTCCTCCCCCTTTCCTACCATCTCTGAGTAAGGGCGAATATTGAAGGGGAAGACAGTTGCTGCTAATGCACACAGGAAATCAGGACTCATCCACATAGAGGCAAGGTCTGGGACGTTGTGATACAAGTATCTAAAGAACTGCATCAGGGTCACTGGATATTCTCGGAGCCAAGACCCCTCTTCCTCTGATTGCCATGGCTGTCCCAGGGACAAAAGAAGAAATAACGTATTAGAGAAATTGACACATCTAAAAATACTTAAAAATCCACTACTAACATTCTTATAAAACTGGATATAGTGATGGTTCAGAACTCTATAAATGACACATATGAGCAAACACATGTGTTCATACACATGTAAAAAAAATCTAGAAGTTGTAGTACCACTAGAAACTGGTAAGACATCTATTCACTGATGTACTCACAGCTCAGCTAATGGGAGTCAGTACTCTTATTTTTTTTTAAATTTTGGCAGTACTCGAGTAGAACTCAGGGCCTCACACTTGTTTCAGCCACTCTCCTACCCCTTTTTGCATTGGTTATTTTTCAGATATGGTCTTGCTTTATGCCTGAGCTTGCCTGGACTGAGATTCTCTTATTTACATTCCCCCATGTAGCTAGGATGACAGATATGTGCCACTGTATCCAGCCATTGGTAGAGACTGGGTCTTGTGAACTTTTTGTCTGGGTTGGCCTCAAACCACAATTTTCCTGATCTCTATCTCCCAAGTAGCTAGGAGACATGGCACCTACTCTGAGAACTGGTGGTTTTGACCATTCATCCATATCAACATGACATAGTTGGTACCACAGTGGCTGTATGACCTTCAATGTTGCTCCATAACACATTATACTAGAGAGTAAGAAGTAAAATTAAAGATGAGGAAGTCACTTCATCTTTCTGAGCTCACATGGTGTAAATCCAGGAATAAAGCTCTTAAGCATTGTATAATTCAATGACAGAAGTGATGACCGATAATAATGAATATTTGAATAATATTCTTTTCTATTTGTCCAGAGAGTGGCTTTTTCTTCAAGTTAGAATTTTATATATGTTTATGAATAGGAACCAAAATACAAGAATCCCCAATCATTTTAAAATGCTATATTTAATGGTAGCATCTTGTTCTTAGAGGGCATAGTTTTGACTAAAATTAGATTAGTCATATACACATAATTCAAAGAATCTAGCTTAGTATTTCCTCAAAAAACATAACCCTAAATTTTGTAAACAAACTAAGTCATTATTCACTATTCCTGTAAGATAGATAGGAATATAGATTTTGTCATTTATTCTTCCAGTTCTTCACCTGTAAGTAAGAAATAATCAGAATAGAGAAAGCAAAAAATAAAACTTTCGTTAACATTTTTAACCTCTAAGTGAGAGTGAATTTTAAAGTTCAAACAAGTTATTATACTATCATAAACCACAATATATTTTATAAATGTATAAATACTACATTAACAATATCAGTTAATACTTAGGAAGCACTTACTGTATACACTTGGATTTTATGTATATTACATCATTAACTCTTTCAAAACAATCTTACAAGGTAAATTGTGTTGTCACCGGCTTTTTAAACTGAGGCACACAGAAGTTAGGATGTTTGAAACATGTATATATGTGTGTGTGTGTATACATACATATATACATACACACATATATATATATATATATATATATGGGCCTCACTTATAGTAGGCAAGTGCTCTGCCACTGAGCCACACCCAGTCTAGAGTTTGTGATCTTAATACTACATAATCTGTCCTTACATTAGAGATAACAGGCTGAGGTTCCAGAGACCATGCAATAAATAAATAGGTATAGTAAGTAATAAAAGGATTCCTCTCAGAAAAACCAAAGGAAGTATGACAGGCAGGCAGCCCGTAGGAGGCGCCAGTGCCTGGGTGACTTACTGAAGTCAGCATGCTGCGCAGCATTCCCAACAACAGAAAAGCAGCTTCTGCACACACACTGTGGACAGACGAGACCACACTTCCACTGGAGGCAGGAACCCCAAAGATAAATGTCCAGATGGAGTCCAAATCGAACTGTACAAGTCAGAGTCATTAAGCAGTAGTCACTATTAATTTTTGTTAGGAGAAAATTTTATAAATTCTAATATTCTGAAATTTCTTTTTGAAGTAATGATGAAAAGAGAAGAGACCTAGTAATCCTCGACCCTACATTTCAATTCACATGCTCAGTGTACTATGTATCATGCTGTATCCTGACTTATCTACCTAGTATATTTAAAACACCATTTTCTACCTTTTTTCCTAAAGAAAACAAAAATAATACACATGCTAATTAGTCAAGAGAGGGAATTACAGAAGTGATGATTTTAAGCAGGATCTTGACTTACTTTCCCCCTACTCAGCAGTGTTCTAGATCAAATATGAACAATCAATACAAAGAGATTTATTTAGAGCGGCTTTACATAATACTTTATGACTGTGGCACCACATGTGTTTCAAAAACTGCAGAAGCAACCAAACCGCTAGGCAGGAACCTTTAACTTGACTTGCTGTAAGGGTACAGCCTAATGCTTTCACGTAAAAGGCTTTGTCAGCTACTAAAAGTGATGAGTATCACTTGCCACTGGTCAGAAGCAGAATTGAGTTTAAAAGCTAAATTCCTAAATCAAAGAACCACAAATATCAGCTATATATAAGACATCTATGATATGTTTCAATTAGAAGTCAAATAAAGCCTTCTTGTTTTCTTAACCTGAATGGTATTTATCATTAAGAAATTAAAAATATTTGTCTAACCAGAACTTGCATCTATTCCCTTTATTTTTAATTCTCTGGAAATAATATATTAATAGATAAAATTACATTACTCAAAAGAATCTTTTAGATCACCATTAATATCATCTAAAGTCCTCATGTGTAGACAATCATATAGAGTAACCATAAGAAAAAAGGCTAAACAGTGACAAAGGCCTTCTTTTTGGGAAAATTATCTATAGAATTTTCAGAATCTTCTATCCCAAACCAATCTAAAACATGAGAAAAGTGGTGGAACTGATACTTGGTTTTACTATAATTAACCTATTACTCTATGGTAATTTTTTTGATATAAATAATCACACACCTTACTAGGTAATTCCTACCTGGCAACCCTGCTTACATCGGCTGCTGATGACAGGCACACTGACCTGCAGGTTCTCAGGCAGCTCACTAACTGGCTGCTGTAGAAACAATGCCATGAGGAGAAAATAGAGGGCAGGGACATTAGTGTGTTTAGGAAGGAATGACTGAAGAACTGGAAAACCAGGAAAATGACAAGCATCCCGATTAATCTCCCTGATGGTTGATCTCCCACCGGCACTCCTGCCCACATTGAATCCTAAGAGAAGAGAAAAACCAATAATAAAATCAACAATCAATAACCATGCTGCAGTGACAAAGAAGGAAGTATGTATAATACTTGGATCCTGAACACTCATATTAATGTGGGCAATTAACTATTTAAATGTTCAATTAATCTTTCTGTCCAGTTTTACTTCATCATCTGCATGACTTTAGCAAGCCTATCTATTAGGGTACAGATTTTGAAATATAGGTGAGACAATGAGATACAAATGTTTAAAAATGTTTAAGGTGATATAAATTCTACTCATTAAAAGAATGACTGCAGAAGATCTCTAACATTACTGCTCATATTTTTCAAAGAATTAAGTGAAATTGAAAATACAGCCCAAATGGAGGATGCTATAAAAATGTAATTTAAAAACACACTTGGCACCATGTAGTTAAGATACTTCATATGTCCTAAAAATCAGCTAAACAAGTTAACCTTAAATTACCTATGGATTTAGAGATAAGACTAAATGAACACACAAAATGACCTTTCCTCACAACATGGTCTGTACTCTGTTGCAAAGCTGCTGGGTAGTGTGGTGGCAAATCCAAGGCCACGTGGTTGTAACATTCCATGGCTGAGCTGACTACCCGATTCCTCTGTGGAAACCTGGCCTTATCAGTGTGGTGTATAACATCAGTGTTTCCATCAATCCTGTTTCCTTTGTTACACCTGAATTTTAGGATACAAACCAAACACAGTTCTTTTGCTAGCCCAAACCTAGTATAGTGCTCAGCACAGAATGAATGTCAGCCAAATTTTCAATAGAAATTCTTGATGAATAGAAACCAATAAATTAAGGACTGACTTTACTATGAAGCAGTTTATATTTCAAATGGAAATTCATATTTCTCAATTTCCTTTTCCTAATATGAAGTAGGCACATACCTGCTACTATTTAACATGATAAAAGAACAATTTATGTGTAGGTTCTTTTCTAAGTATTTCATCCTAATTGCACACAGTGATGTGCATTAATCTTCTAAAGTACACTCGACTAATTAACAAAGAATTATATAGTAATTTATCAAGCTCTTTCATATAGCATCTAATTCCTGAATCACAATGAATGTGAGTTAGACATTGCTATTATCTTTGTGTGTGTGTGTTTGTGTGTGTGTGGTGTGGGGGGTGCTGGGAATCCAAAATCAGGGCCTTTATATACCCTAGGCAAGTGCTCTTCCACTCAGCTACATTTTCAGTCCTATTATCATTATCGTATCATAGAAAATAAGCAATTTTTCAAAAAGTCCAATGTTAATTAGTAGTGGCACTAGGACTTGGAGGCCTGATGTCTATTTCAGAGCCTATATAATTATGTTTTCCTCTTACCCCTGTTAATGAGATTGCCACATTTCTGGAAAACTGCTATATTAGGACATTGGGTTAATTTTGGTTTATAATAAATTCAAATGAAATTATTAACATAAGCAGGGTATGGTGGCAGATGCCTGTAATCCCAACACTTAGGAAGCTGAGACAGGAGGATCACAGTTCCCAACCAGACTGGGCTACACAAAGAAACCCATCTCAAAAAACTTGCAGAAAAAATTTATTAATATAAAGTGGTATTTCAAACATTAAATAGGAAAATAGGATCAAGCTGCAGGTCCTAAAAGAAAACCAATATTATGGGGCTGGGGGTATATTTCAGTGCATGCTTAACATGCAGAGACCTGGGTAGGATCTCCAGCACTGAAAAATCAAACAGAGAAAAACAAACAAACAAACAAGCCCAAACCAGCATCAGCATTCTCATTTTCCTTTCTAAAGTTTCACACTGATTTTCTCCTACAATGACTCTTAAGAAATATTTAATATCAACAAGAATTAATTCAGAGTCACATTACTGGGACAGGTACATGGAAGGTATTTTTGCAAAAAATATCTTGACAAAAACTAACAAATATAAATTGAAAAGTCAAACTCATTAGGCTGTTCATCAGATCAAAGAGAAACAGACTCAAATGAAATGATATACGTGGATAATTAAATTAAATGAGATCAAATTTAAATTGAATATCCAGACTCCCTTTTCTGGAATTATTGCAGCATGTGCAATGTAAAGCAGGTATCAATGAAGGACAAACAACTTTTAAGGCACAGGCCAGGTAGGTGAGCAATGGGAAAAGCACATATTTCTAATATTCCTGAAATGACGCAGGACAAAAAAAGCCCAAGACAAACGGTCAGGAAATAGATTCTTAGACACTGCTGCTGCCTGGCCCAGAAACCTTATGTAACTAAGAGTCAAACTTTCCTAGCTAGAGAAAATAATCCTTAATTTATATTTATTAGGTTTAATGTATTTCTTTTAAAATATTATTTTTTATACTATGAAATATATACCTGGCTCCTGAGTTACAATGGACAAGTGAGATACTAGTCAAAAATTTTAATTATAACATGCTGTATATAAAACAAAACAAAACAAAACATGCTATTTAAATCCTAGGGACCATTACTATTGCTGCTTTTTTTTTTTTTAATTTGGCCTCCAGAATAAGCAGTGCCATCAGTTAGTATTCAAAACTTGCCTATTCAACATAACTCATACTAAACTGTGCCTTATTGTTTACTCTCTAGTAGCAGTCTTTTTTTAAAATTTTTTAAAGATAGGGTCTTGCTATATAGTCTAGACTAGGTTGAAAGTCACAAACTTGAGATCCTTCTGTTTCTACCTCTTGAGGGCCAAATGTATTACAGGTGTATACCCCCACATCCAGCTTTCTAGTAGTCATTCTTAGGTAGATAAGCTCAATATCCTATTGCCAAACTGTTCATAACAATCATATTTGCATGTTATATTCTTCCATGCAGAATAGTGATCTATTTTTCAGGACACAGAAGTTTCCAGGGCTGAGGGCCTTGCTTAAGTGGTAGAGTGCCTGTCTAGCAAGTATGAAGCCCTGAGTTCAAATCCTATATCACACACACACACACACACACACACACACACACACACAGTTTTCATATAATAGGTACTTAGAGCTGGCTTTTGTTAAAAATCACCAGCTTCTCACTCAGGCCCACAAGTTAACTAAAAGCAGGATAAAAACGTGGCAACCCTGCCCTTATTTTATAATTGTCACCTTTGTCTTAAGGCTTAGGGTCAGACTACAGCATACCTGTGCACATAGGGTTGTTAAAAACTGATGATACCTAACTTATCTCATTCTCCAAAAAGGAACTGGAAGTGAAGTTTTCTGACCCTGTCATTATTACAGCACCTCTATCAGCAGGAATTAGTTACTGAAGAAAATGACCTCCTGCCTTTAAGTCCTCCCATAGAAACGGAATGATGACTTAGCAGTGGGCATCTGAAGAACAGTACCAGTCACTATCCTAACTAAGTCCATTCTGTCCTTCTCTGACTGAATCTATGCCTCTTTAACCTTTTCCTTCTGAGTCTCTCCTTAAGTCACCTTGAATTTGGACATGGCCAATCTGTGACAGAAGTCCAATCTAACTCCAGGGAGCAATGTCTTTCTTACAGTGACCAATCCTGAGATATGATCAACCAGACCACTCTGACCAAGACTGCTTAACTATGCATGCTTCTTGTCCCTTCCCCATTTAACCTGGAAGCTTATGTTAAATCCCAAACATGGACTTAGGGTCACTGAATCCCTTTATAAGCTCTTTCTGATGTGGCCACATTGAAGAAATCTCCTTTCTCTGCCCTTTACCCAGTAACATAAATATGCATACATGCACTGGGATTTGAACTCAAGGCTTTGCATTTGCTAGGCAGGCTGGGTACCACTAGAGCCATGCCTCTTGCCCTTCCAATATATTTGAAAGCAGAAAATGTTCTCGAGAAATTATCTCACGGTGAAATGGAAATAGTATTCTTTCTTTATCACACACAAAGTTTCTATAGACATTTGCAACATGCGAAGTAATAATATTTCCCAAAGTAAGATCATTAACATGGGTAAGAACATTCCAGTTAAAATAAATCAAAAACAGGACAGTCTAGTTTTCTAATATTACATAAAAGTTTGTTTATCTGTTCAAAACAAATGGTGTCATTGAGCAAAGAATAAGGAACTCTGGCTAATAGTGACTAAGCTTAAGTCCTGGAGTGGCAATCAGACATAACTGTTAAAACCATAGACTTTGGATCTGAGTGACTTAGATTCAAATTTGACACCTCCTAGCTATGTGACAAGTGATGTCAGTCCTACACCTTGGTTTTCTAATCTGTAAAATGGGTACAATAGTATTTTTGCTTCATATGTTCAAATGAAATAAATTATTACATGGTGTTTAGTAACTGACAGAGTAAATACTCAAAATACCCCTGATTATTATTAAATCACTTTTATTGAAAATTTTCTAATTACTTACATATAGATCAGAAAAGGACCTGCTACAAAAAATCACGAGGAATTCCTTGAGCTTTCAAATCTTAATATCCTATCTCTGACTTTAACTTGAAACTGAAGCTTTGTAAGTTTTTCACTCTATTATTAATTAAAATTCATGATTGTTAATGGTTATCAGATACACTGGAGAGTATAAGCTTACATGAGATTTAAAAACAAGACACAATACCTTAAAGACTCTAACTGTAAAAGTCCCATACCTAATACAGTTCCGATCTTATTAGTCAGGACAGAATCTGTCTGCTCAAGCCATCCTCCACCACTGAGCCCTTCTTTAAACTTGATGAGAATAGACTGATTACTCAGTAGGACAACAAGAATCCTCATGGCAGCCGTGACAGTGGTGGAATGCAAGTGCTCTTCCATAAACATCATGATCCAATCAAAACCCAGTGTCCTGACCAGTTCTTCACAAGCTCTATTCAAAGACAGATGGATTTAAAGAAATGAAGTTAATTTCAGCAATTAGGACTTAAATTAAAAGGAAAAACATAACTGGGTCTCATTCCTGAGAGATGGTATATAAATTTCAGGGTTAAAACAAACCTATATAAAGTCAGCGGCATTTCCTTCTTTTGCTTGACATGAATTAACTAGTAATATCATACAATACTACCCAACTCTAAAAAGGTTTTACTTACTGCAAATTAATGCTTGTTTTTTCTTTAGATGTATAAATTAGTTTTAGCAAGATATCCAGAAGTCTGTTCCTCAAAAGTATAAGATTAGCAGACACAAGACCTCCAAATTCTTCTTCAGTTCCTAAAATGAAAATAAGTACATTAAACACCTCTTGCAGATAAACTAGAATAAAATGTATTATATGGCTCTTTGAAATCTCACTGAAAAAAAAATCCATCTTCCAGAAAACATTTCCTCCAGGAGTGCTTTTTACTAAAGTGGACAAGAAAAAGGGTTAGTCAAATCATTTCTCTTTAGAACCCTGAAAATTGTTCATTTATATCTGACATTATCTAAACTGAAGACAAGAAGGTTTTAAGCCCTCTTTTACACTGATCATCCTTTCTTCTGCTTAACAGGGGGAAAGCCATCGATAAAGACCATTTGAATAAAAATAGCAATTACTGCAGAACCTCACTCTCCCAGATCTTTAATCTCCTTTTTTTTGTTTTGAAGGACAGAGTTAAATTTACTAGATTAAAACAATGAAAACAGGAAGCATGAACTTATTCAACAAATACAACACATAAAAGAAAGATGGAATTACATGGCATAGGCCAGAGGTAAAGGTAAACAAATACACAAGAGAAATTGGAAAAGACAGGGAGTTGTACAGGAGCTCAAACTCTCTCAATGGAGAGTACTGGAAGCACATGACTGGTCGAGGTATCAGTGGCCTAGAGTTCCAGGCCAGCTCAGTCGGGGAAGAGCTGTGGGCTGGTCACTTTTCTTCATGCGAGAACTGAGCTCAAGCTGAACTCTGCATGGTTATTTACTTTTACTGGTGTGGGTCATGGACTACTGTTACCTTTAAACAGTGCTTTAACATCCTTCATTATTGCTTCATTCATTATGGTTGCTTCAAGCTCACCAAAGGGAAGATTCCCTGCTCTGCGGGTAGTTTGCAAACTTGCTTATTAAAAGCATACCACAGGGCCTAAATAACTTCCTTAAAATTTTTCTGTAGTAAAGTGACAGTCTATTCAGAAACTTAAAATTCTCTTAATTTTCTGTTAATTATACCTCCCCTAAGTTTCAAATATAGTTTAAAATGATGCACTCTGGCAGAAATTCCCAGGTTAATGTTTTCTCACTCTAGCTGTTGCTTTCATACCACATTGCTCCACTTCACATTACTTATATTATTTTGTATTGATTAGTGCATCAGTGTTCAGCAGTATTCAAGCCATGGGTTTTAAGTATGTATACTGAATACTGTGTCTACTCCTTGAAAAAAAATCCTGTGGTTTTAGTTTTTCGAATATTTTATAAGTATAGTTTTTAGTTCACAGAAAAAAATGTTATTTATTAAATGGAGTAACAATATGTTTCCAAATTTCTCTATTATTTCAAATGGCAATAAAATAACATTGCAGCTCAATAAAAAAAATTTAGTAATATATACATCTTTTATTAGTGTTCCAGATCAAAGAATTTACACTACTGTGGTTACTGAATTGAATGGCCAGTAAAATCTATGAGGACTACAGAAATATTTTTCTATCATATTTTTTATACTTGAAATAAATGTGCTATGTATTTTAAATGACCTTTAAAGCATTTGCATCTTTAATTCATATTTACTTGGCTTATATTAATGCAGAATTTAGAAATAATCTTTGCAAATCACAGAGTAAGTTAAAAGCTTAAAATATTGGTTTAGACTGCCTGGGTTCTAATGTAGTCATTGATATGATCTTGGGTAATTTTTCTTTAATTATAGCTTTCTGGGTGGCAGTTTCTTCCTTTGTAAAACTGGGAGTAATACTATATCATAGGGCTTTTGCAAGATAATTTAGAACACTTAATGAATGTTCAATAAATGCTGTCCCTCCAGCTGATCTTAATCCTTCTCATATACTGCTAATTTATTTCACCAAAGAAATATCAACATGTTTCAAATAAATTGGCAGTAGACAATTAATGAAGGGCCTTATAGTCTGGTCCTGAATCTGTCACTAACCTAACTCTGATTTACAACACTTTATTTAGTCTCTCAAATACTGCATCTTGTACTTTGAAAATTGTGATTATACTACTTTCTCTTATTCTAGAAGCACAGGAGAAGCTGTGCTCAGGAAGGATAGGTAACTGGCTATATAGAACTTTTCCTGGATAGGGTGATAAGAGTTACTTATGTATAAGACATGATTTTTGAATAATATAACAGGGTTATAACTGATGCTGAATAAATATTTGTGATGGATCAGCTCCAGGACTCCTCATGGATACCAACATCTATTGGTGTTCAACTCCCTTAGACAAAATGGTGACATATTTTGCATATAACCCACACAAACCCTCCCATATACTTGAAATAATCTTTGGACTTCTTATAACAAAGTATAAAAAGTTGTCATCAATGATAAGAAGAAAACATCTGCACATATTTAGTACAGGTCCATTTTTTTTTTTTCAAAAGATTTTCAAATACGCAGTTGGGTGAATCCACAGATATAGAACCCAGGGTTGTTGGAGGGTCAAATGTAGATTTGTGAATTTAATAGCAGTGGTCAATGTAAAAGATCTTTTGGTTGCTTTCCAAAAAATTTCCTCTTCTAGAATATACAACCAAAAATAAATGGGAAAAGAAGGGAAAAATATGAACAAAGTTAAAAAAAAATCTCATCATACTAAGTCACAACTTATGAAACTGTTTTTATATTATACTTATATAAAATGATTCTAGTAAAATTTTCTTTCTCCCAGTGACTACTAAATACTTAGCAGTAATATGGATATAATTCACTTTTAGCAGTTATTATGTTTCTGAAGATGTGTGCATAAATTTTAAAAAATCAAATTATACAAGATGAGTTTGCTATTTAAAGGAACATTTTTATGAATATCCTAAAAACAGGAAGGATTTTATTTTTAAAGTAAAATTTACACCCTATTGAAAGTTTGTAGGCAATGCTGTACTTCTGCATGGTTTTGATGTAACAAAAACACAACAGTGAAAGATGAAAAAAATGCAATGTAAGGAAAAAGTTATGTAACATTATTACACATAATTCAGGTCTAATTTGTGTCAGAAGAGAATGTAATTAATTGATCTTTATCTTTCCCAAATTCCAGGATCAGCTTACCAGTATCAGGTTTCTCTTCATTATTTATTTCCATAACTACAAATTTCTCACAAACTGCAAAGGTTGGCAAAGTAGAAGAAATAAACTGGCCAAACCTTTAAACAAAGGAAAAAAGAAAAGGTTATAACTTTCTGATTTTTCTTTCCCTAAATTACAAAGAAATAAAACACAAAATAGCATTTCTTATTTTAACTTTCATGGATCTTTAAGTGACTGTTTGCTTCCATCTGAACTACCTCTGACAACATTATACACAATAATGTTTTTATGGAGAATATAGTATGGATTCTTTCATGTAAAAACCCAAATGGTTTCAAAAACCAAACAGCATAATTGACCCAAGTAAAAATATTGTGACATTATCTGCATGGATCCACTGTGTCCTACTGTTTATTTTGGGTTCTGGAAATACAGATAAGGTTACAATCTTGACTCTACCACTTTTAACCACGTGACTTGGGTAAAGAAGCTTAATTTGTCGGTCTTTCATTTCTTTGTTTATAAAGTAGAGACAAAATTAACATTTTGAGAGGTTTTGGTGACAATTTCAGCAAAGCAATCATTTTAATGCTAGGATAAATTCTAAATACATACTAGTGATAACGGTAATTATATTCTACTCCCCCCAAAAAAGCCCCCTTAATCTCCAGTTTTAAATGTCACCAAGTTTAAAAAACATGTTTTCAAGGTAAATGGATAGAAAAATGAGTGATTTACAAGTGACACAAATTGGAGACAAGTCTGCTGAACATAATCTAATAAGTGGGTATGATTCTACCTGAGACACCTGAGAGATCACATGAGAAGTGGCAATCAAGTCCAATTTAAGCAATTCCTTATTTAAAAATATTAGGAAGTTTGTTATTCTTCCATCTTTTAGTTAAGATGGGGATTCTAACATGAATACAGGAATATTTCTGCAGACACTCCATAAGAATGACTTAAATATATTTATCAAATTAATACTCCAATCATATAAAAAGTGTGAATATGCAACAATAAGGTATCCTCACCCGTTTAAGTGAAGAGACCAAGTAGAAAAGGGATACACATATCCCTGTGTGTGCATGTCTGTGTGGATGCTCATGAACATATAGTTGAGAACACAGGCTCATGGAGAGGTTTGGGGACTGACAATTCCTATACCAACACTTTTATGTCCGGGACAATCAATGCCATTGGTTAGTTCCCACATCTTTTCTCACTAATATTCTGTTGTTACTGATGGTAAAAGTTGATTTTGCTCTATAAATGCAATGCACTGAGGCACTGCATGCTTTCTATGCCTTATTAAATATCTTGAATGGAATTAACAATAAAGGTGTTATATAGGCATAGGAACCAATAACCGTCATCTCACTGGCACTTTTAGTTAACACAAAGACAAACACAGGAGTTTTACTACCTGAGCAGATCATTGCTACTGGGAAAACCTTGCAGCAGGAAGCTCAGCACATTACTAATAGCAGCAATGGTTGGCTGGGACAGAGACATATCTCGAAGAGTCAGGAGCAGCTTTGGGATTAACTGGAATTCCCTCATTAATTTGGCATTCTTTGAAGCTTCACTATAAAAGAAAGAACATTTAATATACTGCCCTATCATCTTAGCTGAACAAGAAACTATATGGGCATTCACTAATACCTGGACTCTGTGAGCAGCTCAATAAAGTGTTCGAATAGGGAAAGATGAAGTTCATATGGGGCATGCAGCCAGACCTACAAAAAAATAACGGACGGCAATAGATTTAAGATAAAAAAAGTCCCAAATGCCAATACAACAAAAGAGAACACAGCACATGGAATGTATATCATTAATATTATTAATGGAATACAACCACTTTATTAATTTTTGTAAGACTTTGATTTATTTATTGGCAGTTCTGGGGTTTGAACTTAGAGCCTTGCGCTTGCTAGGCAGGCGTTCTACCACTTGAGCCATGACTCCAGCCCCTTTTCCCTTTATTTTTCAGAAATGGTCTCCTATTTTAGTCCTACCTATGTGTAAGTAGGATGATAGGAACACACAACTAAGCCTGGCTTGTTGGTTGAAATGGATTTTCACTAACTTTTTGCCCAAGCTAGCCTTGAATGGAGATCCTCCCAATCTCTACCTCCCGAGTAGTGGGAATTTCAGGTGTGTACCACCATGACTGGTTGCTTTGTATTTTAAAGCCATAAAAAACTACTTGTATGTAGGAGAAAAATCAATCGCTATAAACAGGCTAAAAAATGACAGATAATGGAATTATCATGCTTTAAAGTCTATGATAAATCTTCTCTAAGTGTTTAAGAATGTAAGAAAAATATAAACATGATGAGAAGGGGAAGATAAACACAGCCACAGAATAAACTTCTATGTCATAAATAAGATATCTCAAATGGGAAATATACTGGATGACAAAAATAGCAGACTAGCCACTGCATAAAAATAATTCTGTAGACATTATCCAAAATGAAGCACAAAAATGCCAAAAAAATAAATGAGTAGATAATGCACTAGTGATTTGTAAGACAGTATCAAGTAATATATGTATAAACTGTATCCAGAAAAGGGAAAGGAAATATTGTTGAAGAACTAATGGTTAAAAAGTTTCAAATATGATGAAAATGACAATTTCACAGATCAACAAACCCCAAGCAGAAAAAACACAAAGATATCAATGGAGTGACTGACAACTTTAAAGTGTGAAACAAATAAAAATTCAAGTAAAATGGTATTCCATGCAAAAAATAGCCTTTAAGAAGGAAAGAAAAATTAAAATCCTTATTCCAGATTCACTGCTAATAGACCTGCACTTCCAGAAATGTTAAAAACATCATACAAGATGGAGAAGCTGGATGTGGTGGCTCACAACTGTAATCCCAATGACATGGCAGGTATAGGTGGAAGGGCCATGGTCCTGGTCCAGCCCTGGGGAAGAACTCGAGATCCTGTTCAAACAAGGGCTAGGGAGTGCTGAAATGGTAGAGTACCTGCTTAGCAAGGACAAGGCCCTGAGTTCAAACTCCAGTACTACTACCAAATGAACAAATGAACAGAAAAGAATTATATGAGATGAAGACTTAGACTTATGAAAAAGGATAAAGAATGCCACAAATAACACATATTTGGGCAAATAAGGTTTTTAAATGACTTTTTACAATATTTGATTATTAAAAACAAAACTAACATAAACTTATGAGAAGATAATGAACATACAGAAGTAAATGTATGCAAATAACAGCACAGAGGATGGGAAGGGAGAAATGGAAGCATTCTGTTGAAAGGTATTTACAAGGTATATTCTTTAAAGACAGATTGAGTTTTTCAGATGCTTGTCAGAGATTTTAGAATAATCATTATAAAAGAGAATATTTGTATGTTATTGCAATCATTTTATTTGTACTTGTGAAATGGCTATTCAAAAAACAGGGTGAATTATTATTTATAGAGTACTTGTGGCTGGGGTAATAAAAAGGAGGCTATGTGAAACCATAAAGTAAATGAGGTACTGTGAAATAAAACCAAGATTTGTTAAGTAACTAAACTTCTGATGTTTGCATAGTAGATTTTAATTAGAAATCTGAATGTAAGGGTAACCCATGATTCAAATGTATCAGTTACCCGATGAAAAACAAGTTTAGGCTGGGCTACGTGGGTCTTCTTAGTCCTCTCCATAATCTTTTCTCCAGACCTTTATCCTTGGTGCTATCATGAGTACTCAGTTATCTATTTCTTTGTTTTTCTCTTCCAAAAGACTAAATGCCTAATACAGGGCTTGGCTCAAAAATACTCATTAAGCGCCTTCTGTAAGAATGAGAGGTTTGAGTATTACAACTTTGAACTCTAAGCTGAAAAATGTGTACTTTATTGAGTAGGAGAAGGAAATCTCTGGAAGCTCTTGAATAAATGATATAATTATGCCTTTTAAAAAAGAATGTGATGACAAAGGTAGACATCGCAGCCTGAGGAAAGTTAGAAAGAACTTATAGTTATCCCAGTCAGCAAGAACAGAACTAATCAGGGTTTGGATTAGGATGTGAGAGTAGAAGCAGAAAAGTCAGACTACCTGAGATGTGAAAGTACAATGTACATGACATAGTGTCAGACTCCTTATAGGCATGGAGGAAAAGGAAGTCGATTTTATAATTTCAAGCCTAGGGAATGGTGGTGTTATTAATAGAAACAGAAAAGTTAGAAGGAAGAGCTAATTTAGGGAAGGATGTTAAATTCAGTAAAGGTATTGTGGGGACAGGAAATGTTGAGCAAGAAGTTAGAAATAAATCTGGAATTCAGATGTCAAGGTTAGAGATTTAGGCTAGAAAGTTAACTTCATCGAGATGTGAGGCTATGGGATTTGATGAGAGGTTAAAGAAAAAACAAGAAAGGAAAATATAAAGAAGTAAAGATAGATATCTGAGAGCTGTGGATGCTGACAACTGAGTACAGCCACCAATTTTTATTTAGAAAAAAGCTGTGAATAAGCTCTGACAATAATACAGTTTCAACAAAGCAATTAGGGCACAAAATCTGTTTGTTGGGGACTTAGTAGTTGACTAAATATTGTACAGAAATTATGAGGAAGAAGACTTGGCATCTAGCATCAAAGTTGCACATATGAAGTGAAGCATGCTGGTGGGTAGGGACTCAATTAAGAAGACGACAGGTAATCTCTGCACTCACAACACCTAAATATCCTACTGCTTCCAAGGGGTGTAAGATATAAATTTAGTGTGTAAATTTGCAAAGTGGATGAACAAGAGGTTCAATGAGTAAGGGATACGAGTACATGTGCCTTAAGAGGACAGGGTGGAAGCTACTGTGAATAAGATAGTAGAAATGGAAATCATGTTATTTTGGCAAAATATATGACATTTTACTATGTAGCTGTTAACATATAAAATTAAAAGTGTATATTCCTATTTATTGTGGAATATTTTTAATTAAAATTGAAGAAAGTATTTGCCTTCCATAAAGCCAGTCATACCAACTAATTGGTGGCTTAGGGATATGCATTTCATAATATTTCATCTCTATAACATTTAGAGTGGAATATGTTTGCAGAGAAGGAAACCTTCCATTACTCTACTTTTTATATTTTATTAAATGATATTACTGTGATCATCATAAAATTACAGAAATTTAAGTGCATCTTAGAGATATTTTAACTACATCATATGGAAAAAGAAAAGGATTCATTGACTATATATCACCAGTTTGTGTTTATGTACATACTTCGAAATCACAAAGAAGGTCTTGGAAAGCAGTTGAATTTGGTATGATGGAGGTCTCGTGTCCACTGTCAACAGTTCCCACCAAGGAAAACGTCAGATGGAGGATATGGCTGTTAAGAAGGGAACGTTTCTTCTTAAGCAGCATTGCCAGCAACTACAAGAAAGTAATTCAAGTGCCTATTGATAAATCATCACATATACATTACAAATGCACACACACACACACACACACACTCAAGAATTCCATGTACAACAGTTCTTAAGACTTCTAAGCTGATTTCTAAGTTTTATTGTTTCTGAAAAACAAAGTAATCCTATCACTATATTAAAATACCCACATTTAAATTAACCCTTTCAATTCCCATGTAAATATTTGAGTAACTGCTGCTCTCATGGGCATTTAATTCTTTTTCTGTGCACAAAAGAATTTTTCTTTTGCAATATAGTCTTCATAATTACAATTTTAAAAGGTTGAATGATATTTTATAGGGTGGATACAGTATAGTTATTCTCATACTATTGATATATTTAGAGTGTTCATATTTTTTTCATAGTAAAAATGCTGGAATAACCATTTTGAAAATGTTGCAAAACAAAACACTTATTAAAAATAGTGTTATTAAACCTGTACAATATAGAATGTACAATATATAATACAGCATACATATGTATACATATATGTGTACCAATACAAGTATATACAAGAACTGTATTATCAGTATAAATGACCAAATTGCTAATGTGGTAGAAGGCATTTGTATTTTATTACAATGGAGGGTGTTACAGTTTGAATCTGAGATGCCCCATGAAGACTCATGTGTTGGGGGATTGGCTGCAAGCTGAAGGGGTTTTGGGCAAGGGATTAGATCCTTAGGACTCTGACACAATGAGTGGCTCAATCCCTGATGGATTCATGACATGATGACATTATTGGGAGGAGGGGCCTAGTTGGGTGAAGTAGATCAATGGAGGCAGGCCCAGGAAAGATACTTTGCTCCTGGCCGCCTTCCTGTCTCTCTGCAAAGTTGCTATGAGGTGAGCTCTAGTGTCTATAATGTTCTACCCCTATCCTCCATGCCCCAGCTCATAGCAATGGACAACTTGGTCATAGACTGAAACTCTAAGATAAATCTTTCCTACTTTTAAATTGTTCTGCTTAGGTATTTGTCACAGTGATGAAAAACTGACTAACACAGAGGGATTTAATCTTGTTCCAAATGACTTTTTACAAGCAAATCTCATACAGATGTGGGTCAAAAACGTCTGGTAAGAAAACATGTAGATATGTAAATGTCACAGTGAACCCCCCACAATACCCTAAGTGATATATACAGTATAACAACTATTTAACTAGCATTTACATTGCACTAGGTACAATGTACATAGAGATAATTTAAAGCATCCAGGAAGGTGTGCTTAGGTTATCTGCAAAAGCTATTGCATTTCACATGACACTTGAGTATTCAAGGATTTTCGTATCTGCGGGGATTCCTGGAACCAACTGGGTGGATAGTGACACATGACTGTATTTCCAAATGTATCAAAGCTATATTGAAATAATGTAGCCTAATTCAAGAGTATAGTAAGATTGGATGAGAAAGGACAAAAGAGATAAACAAAAATAAAGAAAACTTATCATATTCTCATTTGATGTGTTAATTTTAATAAAAGCTACTGGCTTTTCAGTTTACTCAGACAATATACTTCTTCCAGAGTCTGAGAAATGTGAATAATGAACATTAGAATATTTTTGGTGCAAAGTAAAGACAAAGCTTCTGGTTACAAACCTGGTAGCCCTTGATCCTTTCCATTTCTTTGCTGGCTAGTGGGTTACTCTTGACCACACAAACCAGGGCCTTGACCGCTGCATATAATCCTTCCACATCAGAGGCCATGGCCACTAGGCCCAGGATGGCTGCAGCTCCACCAATGTACTGCAAAGTAGTGGCAACAGGCTTAGGGACAAATGTTCTTACTCCTGATTAAAAGATAGTGAAAAATAATTAAAATAAATTCCCTATGGGAACAAGAAGCAAATATATTAATCATAGTGAGTAGTTTATAAATTCTAAAAAAAAGTAAAGGTAAAGTTTGGGAAAAGGCAATAAACGTTAAAATACATATTTAGAGAAAAGTCAAAGGATAAAGGGGAAAGCAGAGAAGAGATGGGGTTACAGTAAGCATTGATATTTTGAAACATCCTATAGCTCTGGGCAACGTAAAGACTCAGAAGTTCAGAAGGCTTGGGAATGCACTCTAAGGGAAGTGAGAGTGGCTTACTAGGCTCTGGAGGAGGAAGCATTTGGGGGAAAGAAGGTGGAGAAGCCACCCTGGCAAGGACAAAGGACTTCCTACAGATAAAGCCGAGCAAGGCACACAAAGCACACTACTGACCAGTAGTCAGGGCTCTTCTTGGGTTGGTAATCTGAGAATTAGTACGTGAGAGCATAACTTTTTGGAAACACAGTTCTGAAATTGTGTGAATTAAAAAAATCATATTTACACTCCATACATTTTTTTAAAGGCATTGTTTGAATATCATTTGCCTACTGACTGAGATTGAATTTTCAAAATATAAAAGTAGTTGAGCACACATGCCTCTTGGAAGGCTGACATGGGAGGATCACTTGAGCCCAGGATTTCAAGACCATCCTGGGCAGCACAGTGAAACCCTGCCTAAAAATATTTTAAGAAAAGAAAAAAATTATATATACATGTATGTGTTTATACTAATACTCATTTTATATTTCTATGTCCTTTGCAGTATTCACAATATTTTAATATACTGGAGCAGGAGATTTGGAAAACTACCTTCTAAGGTAATCAAGACTAGTATTTTTAGTTCATAGGTAAGAAAACTGAAGCTCACAGAGCTTAAATGTTTATTCTATTGTCACAGAGTGAAAGAGTAGGGAGTAAGACTTAAACATGTAACTGTTCATTGCTTTTCACTATATCACATTGCTGCTGCAGTTTTGAAAAGAACAGAGTGGTGCTCAGTAAGTATTTATTGAATTGAATGAAGGAAAACTACCATGTATTTAAGCATAAAGGAAACTTTTAACACTGAATCTCATCAAAAAAGCAAAAAAAGTTAAGACTTGTACCCATCACTGGGACATATAAACATCTTTGCTGGTGGGACACAGACCAGCAAAACACTACTTTTTTGTTAATCTAAAAAGGAACCAATTTTTTATATTGATTTGCATGTTAAAAGTTGGTGTCCTGACTGGATCATTTCTCAAGATCCTAACTTACCAAAATAATCAACTCTTTGTAAGATAGCATATGGAAGGCTCTGTAGGATGTCTACCAGCTCTAAACTTTTATTATAGCTAGAGTCAGTGTTTACACTCAGCTTGTATTTTTAGCATTTAACACAAACCAAACCTTGAAATAATAAATTTTCAATTTTCATGCTTGTTTCTGCATGCCATTTGAAATTGAATGAAAAACTCCACAAAAGTTTGCAGTCAGCACTCATCAGTGCTGACAGGAGGGAAAAAGCTAATGAGATGTCATGAAAGGTTATGATGTTTAAAGTTGACTAGAATTTGACATTGTTGCATTAGTCTCTAAATTTTGCAAGAGCTATAGATGTGAACTTTAATACTACCCCTCAAGTGAGTAAAATAAATGCAAATTTGAAGGCAAAGAAGTTTTGAAACAAGAAAGACAACTTAACTTACCCAAGTATCCAATCAGAGTAGCCCCAATAGTCCGTGCAGGTCCATTAAGATGTCCTGAGGAATTGTGTATCAGTTTCACAGGGGTGGCATTCTCATGGGAGGAAATGCCTAACTAAAGAACAGAAAAGGAAGACAAAGTAATTATAGAAGCACAGCCTGAGCCATTTTGTTTTAAAAAAGAAATAATCTATTTGACTGATAACATATCTTTTCCTCCCTTATCAGAATATTCAAAATATCATATTCATTTTTTAAAAAATGGGCAAGTCCTTCCAAAGTAGGAAATTTACAGGAAGTAATTTAAATGTAATGATCCACTGAGGTAAGGATGGCAGGAGATCTTGGCCCACAGCTCCAGGGGCCATTCTGACTGAAGCTTTGTTGTGGTTTAAAGGTTGTCATCATTTAATGCTTCGCAATATTTCTGATCAGTGAACATAGTATTGGCTTTATTTCAGATTCAAGTATACTTTACTTGAATTTTATTTCAGATTCAAGTATCACTCATCCAAGAGTTTATAGGTAAAATATGCCTACATAAAGGAAACATCGAGTGCACACATAAACAGGATCTCCCACCAGACTGTAAGAAACATAAAAGTGGGAGTTTTCTTTTAGTCCACTGCTATGTCCTGAACAAACAGTAACCAGCACAGAGTAGGTGACCCATGAAAAAGTTGCTAGCAAGCCTTAAAAACAGCAACTGCTAAAAATCAACAGCAGTAGTATTTTTAGTGTTCTAAAGTTCAACTTCTTAATTGCCAAGAGAAATAGAAGAATTAGAACAAATTATGCACTCAGAAAGATATTCTAACTTTTCTAAATTAAGTATCTAAATGTGTTTTGGCTTACACTAGAAGCCAAATAAATCAAATATAAACAATTTATGAGGGAAACAAAATGAAAAAGACTCAAATATGCTAATTAGGTCCAAGAATCTTAAGAGGGAAAATGTAGCAGAAAAAGATATTTGAAAAAATAATTACTAAAAATCCCTTAAATTTCGTGAAGGATGTAAATTTACAACAACACGTTCATGGAATTCCAATCAGGATAAAAGTTTTTCAAAAGGTCTGGGCATATCATATTTTAATGCTGAAGAACAAAGATAAAAGGAAAAAATTGAAGGTAGCCAGAGAAATATAAGTTGAAATACTGTATATACATCAGAAGCTAGTAGACAACACAACAGTGGAACAGAACCACATATATGACATGCTGAAAGGGAACATTTGTCACTGCTCAACACGACACCCAGGAATTTGACCTTCAGGGATGAAGATGGCATTAGTCATCTTAGCTGCTGTATCAAACTGCTACCAAGTAAACAAGTTAAATTTATTATCTTACAGACTGATGATCTGAATCAAAACATGGGTCTCACTGGACAAAAACCCAGGTGTTGGCAGGGTTGTGTTCCTTCTAGAGGACGGCCCATTTTCTTGCCTTTTTCACTTTTCTAGACCACATGAATTTTTTGACTCATGGCCTCTGTCTTCAATTTCTGCCTTGGTCTTCAACTTTCAGAGGCCCTTGTGATTCAACTGCACCCACGGGGATGTCTATGGTAATTTTCCTACTCTAAGGTCACTTGATTAATTACTAACTTTAATTCTACATGTAACTGGTCTTTTCTATGTAAAGAAAAAGACTGGTCTTTTCTATGTAAAGTAACAGGTTCCAGAAATTAGGACATGAATGTATTTGGGGAATATATTAAAATTCTAGATGAATAAATTTTCAAGCAAAAAAAATCCAAAAAAGGCATTATTTTTGGCAATCACTCATACTTGGTTGGTATCCATAATGAGGTTCTGAAATATCTTCCCAGTGACAATCTGTCATAGCTTACAGGGAAATCATTCTGCTTACCTGCTTAGCAATGGCTTTGCTATCCAACTTGTTATACACTTTCCTGATTCTCGCCACCGTTAGGGAGGACACAGAGAGTGCATAGAGACCAAATGACACCTTTTCTTCTGGAACTAATGATACAGGAGATGGGACAATACCTTCTGATTTTGCATCTTTACCTTCAAAAGAAGAATAATTCTTCTCAAAATTGTCAATAACTCTCCCTAGCCTAACACAAATTTTTTGTTCTTACCATCATTTTAGAGTTTTAATTATTATTTAGTACATGGTAAATCACTTCCCCCAAAGTTCAAAGGAAAAAGGGAATGCAAATGAATGGATACCTATGAGCTTGGTGGTGCTGGGTTCTCTCCCTAACAATATGTGAATACCTCTCCGTACTTCTTGGGACAACAAAATAGAGTAGTGACTAGCATCTGTTTTGGAGCTAGATGACCAAGTTTGAATATTTTTTTTTTTACCATTTAAAAACAGTGTGTTCTATAAATCTCTGTGCCTCAATTTCCTCCTCCACAAACTGAGAAGGCTAATGACAAAATCTAATAGTGTTTTCTGATGAATAAATACATATGAAGGATTCAGAATAAATATGTCCTCTGGCATATTTAGCACAGAGTAAGAACTCAACCAGTATCAGATCTTATTAGATACTAACCAAATCAATATTATGCATGAAGCAACCAATTAGGCAGTCATAGCTTTATTAACATTTACAGTATATTTGTTCTAACTCTTTTGTGATGGTAGAACCACAAGAAGGAAAAATATGACATCATGAGGAAAGAGCACTACAAAGGAAATGCACCTAAACATCAGTTTCTTTTTCTTTCTTTTTTTATTTTATTATTCATATGTGCATACAAGGCTTGGGTCATTTCTCCCCCCTGCCCCCAACATCAGTTTCTTTAATTCCATAGTTCTTTTAGGAAAAAAGTATTTAAAAAATTAGACTATATATGTACAGCAATGAGGAAAAATAATGGTAATTGGTTTAGTTTTGAGAATATATATGTGCTTCCTGGATCCACTCATTCTTCCTTTAACAAGACTAGCTATACTTTATGTGGCTTCAAGTAATAGCTGAAATTGCAGAAAGAGAATGGGGTTGAGGTTCAGACTCTTAGAAGGTATATACCTATATAGATTCAATCTAATAAGAGAACCTGGATAATTACTGACCAGACAATCATGAAAGTACAGCACGATTAGTGAAGGAGAGTGAGCTATCTGTCTGTCTGTCTGTCTGTCTATCTATCTATGGGACTGAAATGAGGGTGTCATATGTTAGTCAAGCCCTCTACCACTAAGCTATATCCTGAGACCAAGCACAGCATTTTAAGTAAGAGAGAGTGGTTAATAATCTCATGCTAAAGAAAATTACAGAAGGCCCTTTTCCTAGCTAAAAATATAAATAACTCCGCCCCTCCACCAATGCATCTATGTTGCAGGAATTAAGTCTCATACAACTTCAAGAACTAAAAATGAGTTACTCACACGGCATGCATACGGCCTGAAAGCTTCCAACATAATTTGGTCCGAGTTCATAAATGGTAGTAACACTAGAAGGAGGTAAAACTTCTTCTAGAAAATGGGTGGGTCCTAAGCGCCAAACCAATGAAGCAATCTGGCGTTGTGCAGGTGGAGTACCAACGTAGGCATAGACTGTGCTCACCACTGGGGGGTTTGCAGAGCCTGAACCCCCTGGAGTACTGTGAATATAGTGAAGCTATAAAGAAGACAACAACAAAGGTGTGAAATGTGGAAAACGATTTTTACCATGCAATTAACTACTTTAGCTTACAGATTTTTGTTGTCCCAAAGTCACACAAATTTACAAATGTCCAAAAATAAGTTGAGAAATATAAGGACAAGGCAAGATTCTAGGATCTGTAACTGGGTACTGAATATGGCAACTGAAAATCTGTTATCAAATTTTCTTTCTCTCTTTTTTTACTTTTATTCATATGTGCATACAATGTTCGGGTCATTTCTCTCCGCTTCCCCTCGCCCTCTCCCTCACCCCCTCACTACCCAGCAGAAACTATTCTGTCCTTATCTCTAATTTTGTTGAAGAGAGAGTATAAGCAATAATAGGAAGGACCAAGGGTTTTTACTAGTTGAGATAAGGATAGCTATACAGGGAGTTGACTCGCACTGATTTCCTGTGCATGTGTGTTACCTTCTAGGTTAATTCTTCTTGATCTAACCTTTTCTCTAGTTCCTGGTCCCCTTCTCCTATTGGCCTCAGTTGCTTTAAAGTATCTGTTTTAGTTTCTCTGCATTGAGGGCAACAAATGCTATCTAGTTTTTTGGGTGTCTTACCTATCCTCATACCTCCCTTGTGTGCTCTCGCTTTATCATGTGATCAAAGTCCAATCCCATTGTTGTGTTTGCCCTTGATCTAATGTCCACATGTGAGGGAGAACATATGATTTTTGGTCTTTTGGGCCAGGTTAACCTCACTCAGAATTATGTTCTCCAGTTTATCAAACTTTCAAGATAAACTACTGCTAGAAATGACAGATATTAAATATAGGGAGGTTGTCATTGTCTGGTTGATCTGCCCATTGAATCTGAAATTTTAGGGTTGGTATAAAAAAGAGAACTTTCTAATTATTGAATTCAAGTAGTCCTGAAATTAGATAACTTACCTTCAATGTAAGTCTATCAGTTTAATTTATGAAAAGAGTCTTGTAGAGATAAATCATTATAAAAATATTAGAAGATACTTAAAAAATGAAGTTTTCTCTATATATTGAAATTTATATGCACATATTTTAATGTCAATGTAAAATAATAACCATTGCTGACTGACATTCTCAGATTTATACCTCTGTTTACTGACAGGTGCCCAAATTATCAATCAATACATTGATAATAAATATACGCTCAGGTAAGTATGAGATAAGAAAATAAATCTGCTTCTTGTATGGGCAGCTGCCATCTATTAATGGAACAAGGGACATTCCCATTGACGTTTTGTCATAAAATCATCCTAGCTTCAAGTCACATCTAATATGCTACATATTAATTATATAATTAACATTATACATTAATAAATCATATTAATTATACATTCTCTGTATCAATGTGGTTAGCAGTATGATATGTGAATCCTATCCCATGACTTCTTACAGGGATAGTGATGAAGCTGTAAGTATATAAAAAAATAAATCTCCTACCAGTCAATTCTAGAAGCTGAAGACATTTTTCTTTTCTTTTTTTTTTTCATTTTTCTTTTATTATTCATATGTGCATACAAGGCTTCGTTCATTTCTCCCCCCTGCCCCCCCTTACCACCCACTCCGCCCCCTCCCTCTGCCCCCCCCCCACCCCGCCACCAATACCCAGCAGAAACTATTTTGCCCTTATTTCTAATTTTGTTGTAGAGAGAGTATAAGCAATAATAGGAAGGAACAAGGGTTTTTGCTGGTTGAGATAAGGATAGCTATACAGGGTATTGACTCACATTGATTTCCTGTGCGTGGGTGTTACCTTCTAGGTTAATTCTTTTTGATCTAACCTTTTCTCTAGTACCTGTTCCCCTTTTCCTTTTGCCTCAATTGCTTTAAGGTATCTGCTTTAGTTTCTCTGCGTTAAGGGCAACAAATGCTAGCTAGTTTTTTAGGTGTCTTACCTATCCTCACCCCTCCCTGTGTGCTCTCGCTTTTATCATGTGCTCATAGTCCAATCCCCTTGTTGTGTTTGCCCTTGATCTAATGTCCACATATGAGGGAGAACATATTTTCTATGATGCTAACAACAAGAAGTAATCTAATAGAGTCTCTACAAACTCATTTTAAATGTAATCATGTATACAAAGAAGTTAGCATACCATGGGGTATGTTTTAGGGGTTTATCATATTGAAACACCACGTCACAATAAAACATTATTTGTTACTAAGGAAGAAAATTATTCAAGGAAGCTGCTATTTTCACAAAAGGACAAACTTTACTTTTATTCTTTTCAGTGATATCACTCACTCTAAGATAAATACTATCTTTTGGAAGTTGCAGAATTTTAAGAACTTGCTAGCTGAGTTCTGTAGAAAAGAACTCCAGTCTGAGTATCCTCTATTTAAAACACTTGGGATCACAAGAATTTCAGAATTAGGGTTTTTCAGATTTTATAATACTTGCATAGACTTTACAGGTTGAACATCTCTAATCAGACAATCTGAAATTCAAAGATTCAATTGCTTTGAAATCTATAACTCTTGGGCATCATGTTGACACCCAAAAAGTTTTAGATTTTTAGAGAATTTGGGAATTTTCAGTTAGGGCTGTTGAATGTGTATCAACATTCGTCCTCATTCAGAAAATGAAATTTCATTTAATTCTTTACTGGTTGCTTCAACTCTCTTCTGAATACTGTACAATAACTATTTAGAGTAATGTCTATGTCCTCATCCATTAAAAAACAATAAACTGAACACCTATAATTATTAACTGCGACTAGTCTAGGTGATCCAGCTCTAAAAAACAATGCAGTCTTCCAGACTAAATTATAATGATTAAAAATGAAGAGACAAGATAATATATTTATAGTTCATTCAGCATCATACATTGTGTGTATTGTGAAAAGGAATTTAGCAATGGGCTCAAGTCCTAATGCAGTCAGTAATTTCCTTAGTACTTATAACTTCTCTTTTTCATTCTACATTAATAAGGTGAATTAGTCAGCCACATGACTCTAAAACATTGGTCAAATGGGTACTAAAGGTCAACCTAAAGTTAAGATAGACATCAAAAATACTCCTACAACACACACACACACACACACACCCTGAAGCCATCTTGCAAAGCAGAACTATTTACAAATGCAGAGCACTTACCTTCACAGTGTTAACCAGCTGTCCATCAATGTAGAGGGCTGCAGTGCTGTTCTTCAGCATGCCCTTGCTCATCACCAGAACTAAGTGATGCCACTGCCCCTCGACTATTAGCTCTCCACATCGAAAGCGAGCACAGCACGGGAGAATCTCATAAAAAGAGGATTCTTCACTAAAATCATCAACTAAAATAACGTGGGAAAGATGTAAAAAACTTTTTCCAATATCATACCTACTACAATAATTATACCTATTTAGAACAGAATGTTTTGCCATTATGTTAAAAAAAAGATGGTGTAAATGAAGATTCTATCATAACCTTATTTGTAGCAAAAAGCAAAATCTAGGATATATGTTTACTTGCATCTGCTCAAGATATAGTTATAATCAAATAAATTGACACTAGCTAATGAAGTAAAAAAATAAGATAGGTGATAAGATAAAGTTATAATAAACAATAAAAAGACACTAGCTACCACCAAAAATTAAAAAAAGGTACTATATCAAACTGAAAATCTTTTGCAAATCAAAGGAAGCAATCAACAGAGTGAAAAGACAACTTATGGAATGAGAGGAAATATGTGCAAACCATATATCTGATAAGGGATTAATCTCTAATATATATAAGGGACTCAAACAGTGCAACAGTAAAGAAACTACAAGCTCAGTTAGAACATAGGCTAAGGACTTGAACAGACACTTCTCCAAAGACAAAGGAATATCTTACAGATACTTGAAAAGATGTTCAACACCACCAATAAGGGAAGGCAAAGCACAACCACAAGGAGATATCTCCTCATACCAGTGATGATAATTAGCATAAAAAAAATAAATGTTGGTGATGATGGTGAGAAATTAGAACCCTTGCACACTGTTGGTGGAAATGCAAAATAGTGCAGCTGCCAAAGAAAACAGTTTGGAAGAGCCAGTGGTGCTGGCACATGCCTGTGATCCCAGCACTTGGGAGGCTGAGGCAGGAGGATCTTCAGTTGAGGCCAGCCTAGGTTACACAGCAAGACTCTGTCCCCCCCGAATAAAACGTCGATTACAAGAGCAATAAAATCAATAATGGGCCTTGAATGTAAAAGGGGGCACTACGTGTGGGGGAATTAGGAGGAGGGTGAAGAGGATGGAATTGTGTCTATACACACACACACATATGTGTATATACATGCATTATTTATGAAGACAACATAACAACACCTTCCAAACACTTTGAAAATGGGGATGGGAGAATGGTTAAGGGAATATAGCAGGAGGGTAGACTTGTTCAAAGTATACTTTATGCATGTATGGAATAATTGCAATGAAACCCCCTTGTACTGTTAATGTATGTTAATAAAAACAGTTTAATAAATATTAAAAATAATTATTAAAAAATAAAACAAACAAAAAGAATAAAACAAAAATAAAAAGTACACTATGGAGTTTCCTCAACAAATTGAAACTAGAGCTACCATATAACTCAGCAATTCCATATCTGAATACTTTCAGAAGAATTGAAATTACAATCTCAAAGAGATATTATATTACTACTCCTATCAACAGATGAATGGATAAAGAAAATGTGGTAAATACATACATTGAATACTATTTAGCATTAAAAAAGGAAAATCTGTAATATGTGACAATATGGATGAACCTTCTGGGCCTTATGCTAAGTGAAATAAGTCATCCATAGAAAGGTAAATACTGCCCGCTTGCATTTACATGAGGTTTCTAAAATAGTCAAACTCATAGAAGAAAAAGAACATAGTAATAAATAATTGCCAAGGGCTGAAGGGAGGAAGAAATGGGCAGGTACTAATCAACCAGTATACAATGTTAGTCAAGCAAGATGGATAAGCTCCAGTGTTCTATTGTACAATATTTTACTTATAGCCAACAAAAATGTATTGTAACTCTTTGACTTGCATTTGATTACAAAGTGGGATAAAGAGACACAAGAAAACAAATCTTATTCCTGCTATAGGCTATGCTCAGTGATACAAGCTATCTGTTGCTAGTTCAGGTTGTACTGCCTAGAACCCTTACTGTCAATAGCTGGTAGTAAGGAAGTGGTGATACATGGTGCAAGGTATTTGCTAATGCAAGTTCTTGTTTCACCAGACAACTCTGTTCCACATACATGAATATAATCTGAACTCTTAACATTGTACAATCACTTCCTAACTCTAGTATGGCTTCTCTCTGCTACCCAGTATGTTGATAGATCATGATAAGAAATAATGGGCTCATATTAACTTAATTTTAATGTTAATTTGTTTTAATTTTTGCTGGTGGTGGAGTTCAAACCCAGGCCCTTAAATGTGCTAAGTACATGTTGTACCCCTGAGCTCCATCTCCAGCCCTACCTTATCTAAATATTTCCAAAGGGGCAGGGCAGCAGATGTTAAAAACTTATTTCATCGTGTAACTTGAAGCAGACCAACTATTTTTCAATACAAGGACATAAAGGAAATATATCTGAAAGGAAAGTTTAAATTATACGAAGGAGGAACTACAAATGAAATACTAATTTCGACTTTTGGAATCTTAAAATGTCTTATTGATAAGGTAAGTTAAAACAGGAACAGAATTGAATAAAATAAAAAGTAGGATGAAAAGCCTTGAAAGTTATAGACCATTAGATATTAAAAAAAAAAAAGATAAATACATGGGGGCTGGGTGTAGCTCAGTTACTGAGCATATGCAGAGCATCCTGAAGTCCTGGGTTTAACCATTCCCAGCACATACAAGGAAAGACACATAGGTGAAATAAGGAACAATCCTATTTCCCTTTCCTTGTTAATAGACTGTAAATCTTCTCAAGGACTAAATATATTACTTATAAAATTTTTGTGAGTGTTTCACTTTGACTTAGGTTTGAACTAAGACATTTCCAGCACTAAGTTACTAAGCCAATTAAACTCTTAATTTCCAAGGCATTATGAGGGGATGGGTCCTATAAATACTAACATATATGCTACTGCAATTTGTAATCATTGATGGACTAAAGCAGTTCTGCAGGTTATGTTTAGTGAAAGTGATACAGAGCTAGAAAATACTTTCTTAAGTTTACCAATAGTTTCATCTCCAGTTCTAATCCTTAGCTTTCTATTAAATATTATCCACTCTCCAAATTCTCCATTATTATTCACTTTTCTTCTCAGGTCATCTCCACATCTTCTCATTCATATATTTACATATTTAAATTAATGTTTTCATGCCCAATATATACAAGGCACTGTTTCAGGTGGCAGGACTGCAGTGATTTTAGGAAGATGGTAATCTTAGGCTGGTGGAGTGGCTCAAGTGGTAAAGTACCTGCCAAACAAGTGTGGGGCCCTGAGTTCAAACCTCAGTACTACCAAAAAAAAAAAAAAAAAAAAA